GAAGCTTGCCACTCGCACGGTGAAGGCCACTCCTGAGACCAGTGTAGGATATGGCCGCAGTGTGGCAGGCACAGCCAGCAGCGAGCTAAAGCGGTTGAATCAGCTCGTCGCTGACCAGGGTCCCACCTCTCGGCTTCGTTCACGCTCCGCCTCATCCTCGCCCCTGGGAAGCGTGCCGATCCGATTTTCAGCGACTCAGCTGGGCCGCTCTGCGCTTTGTTAGCTGCGCGGAGAGAAGCTTGGTTTCCCCGGCATGTCATCCGTCAAGGCTTTGACCATGCTCTGGAGCAAGCAAAAGGCAAACGTGGTAGCCCGTGGCAAAGGGTCGCGGGTCCGTTCTCGGCCTCGCCAGCCACTCTTCAGCGGACAGGATTTGTTTGCCAAGGTCTCTGCAAGTTTTTGGTTTGTTTGTTTTTTAAGGTGTTGTTTTTATTTCTCTCTTTCTTTTCCTTCCCCATGGGGCCTTGAAATTGCCCCGTGGTCTTATTGCGCGCGCGGTTTTAAACGGCTGGTTTTTGGGGCCTGCGAGCTGTGGCAGTGGAGGCAGGCGGCCGCCGCGCTCGAGGCCCGAAAGCTCCAGCAAGGCGGTCTCATCGGGCCAATGCTAGAGCTGCGTGGCCGCTCGTCGCCTCTCGCGCCCCAGGAAAAGTCGCACCTTCGATCTTCGATCGGGTGTGGTTGGCGCCCAGTGGGCGCGCGCGAGAGGCTGCGCGAAGCGAGTTTTGCGTCGTCGCCGCATTGCCAGATCTGCAAGCAAGAGCCAGGGGCTTTCTATCGCAGGTTCGTTGTTTGCGAGTGTCTTGTGTCGGCTGGTCTCCGACCCCAAGGTGCCCTGAATCGTTCCCTGCCTCGGGGGCCTTTTGCTATCGTTTCTTGGCCAGGCAGTCGTTGTCTGGCGCCCTGGGGCCGCCCCCGTCTTGCCCGAGGCTGCGCCCGAACAAATGTTCCTGGGTGAAAGGGATCACCTCGCGGGGGGCCTCTCCGTGGATGGTTCGCTGCAGGACAAACATATCCCTCATGCTGCAGTCCCTGCGTGGGCCGTTGTCGCCCTCTGCCCGGACCTTCCACCCCCTCGCAGCGCGCGTGATTTCAGGCCACTTGCTGTTTTTTTTTGGAGGAGTGGAGGGGCCGATTCAGTGCGTCGATCGCGCTGAGCTAGTCGCCGTCCTTCGCAGTCTGCTAGTAGCTGTGACCCCATCAGCGTGCATAGTGGCTCGAGTATCGTTGTCTCTGACATCCCACCAGCGATGACCGCCGCTCTGGCCAGTGCGCGCGCTGACGTTTGGGCTGCAGTCTGGCAGAGGATTGATGACGGGGGTGGGTTGGGTCCTCTCGGCGTGCAGTTTGCCAAAGTCAAGTCCACCCCCCCCAGACATGCGCGTGTCCATCTCGCCCAGGATCATTGCTGGCAACGGTCTGGCCGACGAATGGGCGAAGAGTGTAGCTTGCTCGTGGCGCGTTTGCAAGGCGTGTCGCTCGAGGCGCCAAGGTTTCAGCGAGGCGGTCCGTGCCGTGGGGATCCAGATCGCGTGGCCAGGGGGCCGCGCCGCCCTCGGCACCGTGCGCCTCGGCTGCAGCGAGCCTCGCCCGGCGCGCGCGTCCAGCGCAAGGCCTCCCGCGCCGCTGCTGCTGCCGCCCCGCCGCCGCCGCCGCCGCCTCCTGAGCCTCGGCCCTCTGGTGCGGTTGTGATTTCGACTTGCCATGGGTTCATGGGTTCAAAGCGAGAGCCAGCAGCGCGCAGGAAGAGGAGGAGGAGGAGGAGGAGGAGGAGGAGGAGGAGGAGGAGGAGGAGGAGGAGGAGGAGGAGGAGGAGGGGAGGAGGAGGAGGAGGAGAGGAGGAGGAGGAGGAGGAGGAGGAGGAGGAGGAGGAGGGAGGAGGAGGAGGGAGGAGGAGGAGGAGGAGAGGAGGAGGAGGAGGAGGAGGAGGAGGAGGAGGAGGAGGAGGAGGAGGAGGGAGGAGGAGGAGGAGGAGGAGGAGGAGGAGGAGGAGGAGGAGGAGGAGGAGGAGGAGGAGGAGGAGGAGAGGAGGAGGGAGGAGGAGGAGGAGGAGGAGGAGGAGGAGGAGGAGGAGGAGGAGGAGGAGGAGGAGGAGGAGGAGGAGAGGAGGAGGAGGAGGAGGAGGAGGAGGAGGAGGAGGAGGAGGAGGAGGAGGAGGAGGAGGAGGAGGAGGAGGAGGAGGAGGAGGAGGAGGAGGCGGAGGCGGAGGCGGAGGCGGAGGCGGAGGCGGAGGCGGAGGCGGAGGCGGAGGCGGAGCGGAGGCGGAGGCGGAGGCGGAGGCGGAGGCGGAGGCGGAGGCGGAGGCGGAGGCGGAGGAGGAGGAGGAGGAGGAGGAGGAGGAGGAGGAGGAGGGGAGGAGGAGGAGGAGGAGGAGGAGGAGGAGGAGGAGGAGGAGGAGGGGAGGGGGAGGGGGAGGGGGAGGGGGAGGGGGAGGGGGAGGAGGAGGAGGAGAGGAGGAGGAGGAGGAGGAGGAGGAGGAGGAGGAGGAGGAGGAGGAGGAGGAGGAGGAGGGGAAGAGGAGGAGGAGGAGGAGGAGGGTTCAGGAGGTGGTTCCCTCAGGATTTGAACGGCGCATGTGCCCGGGTGGTGGGCTCAGTCCTCGGCGCGTGTCCCGACGTTCGGGCGGAAGTGCGGGCGCCTGCGGGTCTGGGGCTCCAGGGTTTCGAGAGGCCCCCCGGTCTGGGGCTCCAGGGTCTGGGGCCCCTGCTTCGGGGCTCCTGGGTCTCTGTCTTCCCGCGGGACTTTGTGCCCGAGAGCTCAAGCCCGTGACTGTGTTCTTTACGAGGGCGGCTGCTCGTGGCAGCCTCTGGTTCGGTTTTTGTCAGCGTGCGTGTCTCGTTCGTACTTCGTGTGTGTTTGCTCTCGGGTTGCGTTGCGCGTGTGTAAGGCACCCGCCTCAGGGGGAAGGCGTGCGCGTCTCTTTTCGTTCGGGTCCTTTGGACCTGGCTGCGTGTGGTCTCGCTTCCATGCGCAGCGTGCGTGACTAGTTTGGGGTAGGTCGCACTAATCCAGCTCCTCGTCAATCTGTGTTTCAGGAGGATGATGATGATGAGGATGAGGCGGAGGAGGAGGAGGAGGGGGATGAGGGGGGGATGATGATGCTGATGATGCTGATGATGATGATGAGGATGATGATGATGATGATGATGATGATGATGATGATGATGATGATGATGATGATGATGATGCTGATGCTGATGATGGTGATGATGCTCATGATGATTATGCTGATGATGGTGATGATGGTGATGCTGATGATGATGCTGATGTTTTGGAAGAGGAGGAGGACGAGAAAGAGGAGGAGGAGGAGAGGAAGGAAGATGAGGAGGAAAAGGCGGAGGGGAGGAGCAGGGGGATGGATTCTAAGGTTTCTTGTGTTGTCGGGTCTACATGGTGGCCCCTCGTCGCCCTGGTTGGATGTGCGCCTCGCAAGTCACGGTCGCAGCGCGCCCCAGGACAGGACCGGGTGTCGACGCTGAGGAGGGAGTTGATCAAGGCTCGTCGACGCGGATATGCAGTCAAAACAGGATGCGGCCCTCGAGGCTGTATCATCGAACGTGCTCGGGACTGCAGCCTTCACGCCAGCAGTGTCGGACGGACAACCCATTCGGTCATAGAGCCGTGGTGCAGCCGATGGCCCTGAATGCATCGTGGCTTCATGGCTGACAGAGCTCTCTGCCGGCGTTCTCGAGGTCTCTCAGCTCGGAAAGCGTGTCTCTGCCATGTCAGGTCGTGTCGATCAGACCGCTGACGTGTCCGATGGGATCCCATTGGAGGCGGTACGGACAACAATACAGGCAGCCGTTTGTTATGATGGAGCCCGGTGCCCAAACATATTCCATATTCAAGAGGCTGACGCCCTTCCGCCGACCCCCAGAGGAAACACGAAGTCCACGGGTGAGCCATTTTTGGGGCTTCTTTAGGGCGTTGAGGGCCGCTTCGGGCCTTCTTGGGCGTCAGCTGGCGGTCTCGGAGGTCCTCTTGAGGCGGAGGGCTCGACATGCCAGTTCGAATTCCCCCTCTTGGGTCCTTTCAGGTGCCCTGCCCTATTGAGCCTCTCCTGGGCCATCTTGGGCCGCTCTTGGGCCGTCTGGGTGCCCTCTTGGGCCGTCTTGGGGCCCACTTGTGGGCTTCTTGGGCCGCCTGGGACGATCTTGGGTGCCTCTTGAGCAGTCTTGATTTGGTGAGACCGAAAAGGCTCTCTGGGGACCATCCTGGGGGGAAGGGCTCGGGATGTCAGCTCGTATTCCCCCTCTTGGGCCCCTCGTGAAGCCCTCTTGGGGCTTGCTTGGACCGTCTTGAGGGCCCCTGGGGCCGTTTTGGGGTCGTCTTGGAGTTCTCTTTACCCGTCTTGGAGCCTTCTTGGGGCCTCATGGGCCGTCTCGAACTTGTGGGGCTCTTTGGGCCGTCTTGGGCGCCGTGAAGAGGAAAAAGGCGAGTGTGCTAAACGAATTAGTTTTCCGAACGGAATGTTGTGATGTTGGCCTCTCAGGGCTTTTTGGGCCGTCCTCGGGGAGCACTTTTGGGCTGTCGTGGCGGACGCGTAGCCGTCTCGAAGCCATTTGGGACCGTAGTTATGTGGACGCTTATGTGCCATCGCGACGCTCATGTGGACTGTCTGGGCGCTTTGTTACCCCCCCAGGCCCCACCCCTCTCTAATCGGATTTCAGGCCCCAGGGGAGGGAGAAAGGGAGAGGGGGGCAGCCAATCATCTCACACGCCTTTGCACCCCCAAGAAGCGGGGATCGGCCTATTTGAAGTGTAAACGTATCTTTACATATGATACAACTCTGGCCGTCTCAATATGACTTTATAACGACTGCTGTGCCGGTGCCAAGTTGTTTATGCTGTACGGTTGTTGTGAACGTGCGTTCAGAGCGTGCACGATCGTTTCGAAGTTGATGCGTGTTCCTTGCCATTTGTCTTGTTGCAAACGCCTGGCATGCATCGACAGTGCGGTGCGAATTTCGACGCTGGATTTTTGGTCTCGTCTCCCCGCGAAGGATAATCCCGACATGCTGGAGCGCTTGAATATTGCAACCGAGGGCGAGCAGAAGAGGCGGTACAACGCGGTTTCACCTAAGAAAAAATCGATCAGGCAGCCTGGGTCGCCAAGCGGGAGAGGAGGAGGAGGATTCGGAGGAGCGGGAGGAGAGTGTCAGCAGCAGCTGCGGCAGAAGACGTGCAGCAGATGATTGGAATGTAGCAGCAGCGCTCCACCCTCATGCCCTCAGCCCAGAGACCATTTGTGGCGACGTGGGCGGCGCGCAGCTATCGTCTCCTTCCTGTTACTGGCGCTGGCACGCGCTTCGACCTGCACCATTCCCTGGCCCCTCCCAGCCGAACCGCCCCTTCGGTTATTTTGGAGCTCTCGTTTACCTAGATTCTAGATCTTATCTTTCTGAACATCCGCATCCAGCTCTGTGCCTGGGAGCCTCGTGGAGTGCCCGCAGCCCACCAACGCAAGGCAGTTATGTTGTTGTTGTTGTTGTTGTTGTTGTTGTTGAAGTCTCATTCTTGAAGAATACCTATTGTTGATCCCCCCTCACCGTTGCGCATTGTTTTTTTTTTTTTTTTTTTTTTTTGTTTTTTAATTGAAGTGCCCCGCCGGGGCTCGCACTTTGTTTTTTGTCAAGGAACGTCTTCCTGCTCAAACTGGCCCCCTTGCCCCCGGGTTACAACAACAACGGCTCCCGCCTGAGACTTCCTCACACTTTAGCCAGGACCCCCGCTCCCGCCCGAGACTTCCTCGCATTTTATTCAAGAGTCGCGCTCTCGCTTGGGACTTCCTCACGATTTATTCAGGAATCGCTCCTCCTGCGCTCTGGAGTCGCGCTCTCGCTGGAGACGTGCTTGCAATTTACTGAAGAATAGCGCCCTTTGCGTTGGAATTTCTTGCAATTTACTCCAGCGCCGCGCTCCCGACGCCCAGGCACCCAGGAGTCGCGCTCACGCTTAGGACTCCTTCGCAGATTACCTAGGAATCGTGATCTCGCTGCCCTTCGTGGCCCCGTTGCAGCCCTTCGTGGCCCCCTCGCTTTGTTTCGTGGCCCCGTTGCAGCCCTTCGTGGCCCCCTCGCTTAGTTTCGTGGCCCCGTTGCAGCCCCTCGTGGCCTCCTCGTTGCCCCTCGTGACCCCGTTGCAGCCCTTCGTGGCCCCCTCGCTTTGTTTCATGGCCCCGTTGCAGCCCTTCGTGGCCCCCTCGCTGCCCTTCGTGGCCCCGTTGCAGGCCCTTCGTGGCCCCGCTGCAGCCCTTTGTGGCCCCCTCGCTACCCTTCGTGGCCCCGTTGCAGCCCTTCGTGGCCCCCTCGCTTTGTTTCGTGGCCCCGTTGCAGCCCTTCGTGGCCCCCTCGCTTTGTTTCGTGGCCCCGTTGCAGCCCTTCGTGGCCCCCTCGCTTTGTTTCGTGGCCCCGTTGCAGCCCGTCCTCGTGCCCACCCCCCCTTCGTGCGCCCCGTTGCAGCCCTTCGTGGCCCCCTCGCTCCCTTCGTGGCCCCGTTGCAGCCCTTCGTGGCCCCGCTGCAGCCCTTCGTGGCCCCCTCGCTACCCTTCGTGGCCCCGTTGCAGCCCTTCGTGGCCCCCTCGCTTTGTTTCGTGGCCCCATATATGTATGCCCTGCGTGGCCCCCGCTCGTTAGCGCACGTGGTGGCCCCATATGCATGCCCTTCGTGGCCCCGTTGCAGCCCTTCGTGGCCCCCTCGCTGCCCTTCGTGTCCCCGTTGCTGCCCTCAGTGGCCCCGTCCTTACCCTCCGCGGCCCAACATACGTATGCCCTTCGTGGCCCCCGCTCGTTCGCGCCCGTTGTGGCCCCATGTGCATGCCCTTCGTGGCCCCGCTGTCGCCGTTTGTGGCCCCCTCATTGTCCTACGTGGCCCAGGTGCTACCCTCAGTGGCCCCATCGTTGCCTTCTGTGGCCCCGCATTATCTGCCCTTCGTGGCCCACGCTCGTTCGCGCTCTTCGTGGCCCCATACGCATTCCCTTCGTGTCCCCGCTGTCGCCCTTCGTGGCCTACTTCGTGTCCTTCGTGGCTCTGCTGTCGTTCTCTCTCGCTCTCGCTTTCGCTCGTCGTCGTCGTCGTCCGTCGCCGTCGTTGCCGTCGTCGTCGACGTCGTCGTCGTCGCCGTCGTCGTCGTGGTCGGTCCCCTGTCCGTCCCTCTTGTGGTCGGGTCGACGGTCCGCGGCCGCCCCGCCGATCAGCGCTGCCGCTGGCCAGGCCGACGGTCCGCGGCCGCCCCGCCGCTTGCTGGGGCCCGGCCTGCAGGGAAGAAAGGTATACCCCCCAAAAGGGGTTCGATCGAAGACGAAAAGGGCGGGTATCGAGGGTTTGGGAAATTCGCGTTATTCGACACTCGAGCATATAAGGGCGAACAGTCTTAAGATTGTTGTTGTTGTTGTTGTTGTTGTTGTTGTTGTTGTTGTTGTTGTTGTTGTTGCTGTTGTTTTTTTTTTTTTTTTTTTTTTTTTGTTGTTGTTGTTTTTGTCGTTGTTGTTGTTGTGTATGTTTTTGTTTTTGTGTTTGTTTTTGTTTTTGTTGTTGTTTTTGTTTTTTTGTGTTGTTGTTGTTGTTGTTGTTGTTGTTGTTGTTGTTGTTGTTGTCGTTGTTGTTGTTGTTGTTGTTGTTGTTGTTGTTGTTGTTGTTGTTGTTGTTGTTGTACTTGTTGTTGTTGTTGTTGTTGTTGTTGTTGTTGTTGTTGTTGTTGTTGTTTCTTCCCCCCCGCCAGCTTTCAGGAGGCCTCTTCAGGCCCTCCCGGGTCTCCAGAGGCCAGTGGAGGCCTCCCCAGGTTCCCGGAGGGTCTCCTCGGAGGTCTCTCGATCGGGGGCGGCCAAGAGAGGGATGAGGACCAGGGGAGCCATGATATTGCGAAGGCCCCAAGGCGGGGAATATCATGGCGGGGGCTATGACATCCCCCGCCTTCGGGCGGTATGATATTGCGAAGGCCCGAAGGCCTTACGGCCAGTGCCGCCGACCCTGAAGTCGGCGTCGACGAGGACGACGAGGATGTTGAGGAGCAGGTGGCGGAGGACGCTAGGCAGCAGGAGGAGGAGGTGCGAGGGGGGAGGAGGAGGACGAGGAGGGGGGGGGGCGGGACGAGGAGGGGAAGACGAGGAGGGGGGGAGAGCAGGGGGGAGAGCGTCATGAGCAGGGACGCATTTGCAGAAGGGCGGCTGACAAGGAGGAGGGCCAGCGGTGGGTAGAGCGTGGCGAGCATGAGCAGCAGGAGACGGAGGAGGAAAGCAATGACGAGGATGTTGACGATGATGACGAAGACGCGGATGATGTCGGTGATGATGACGATGATGATGATGATGATGTCGTTGAGGGAGGGGATGGGTGTAACACCGGCGGCAGGAGAAGTTGGAGGAGGAGTAGGAACGTGAGGATGATGGTAATGAGGGGGAAGAGGAAGGGGATGACGAGGAGGAACCCGAGGCCGAGGAGAAGCGGGAGTAGGAGGCTCAGGAGGAGGGCGAGCATGCGGAGGCTCACGAGGTTGAGGAAAACAAGGGGGAGGGTGCACACATGCGACTTAAACCGATACTTCAGCGATGTGGAGCCATCGAAGATCGTCTTGGAGACATTTCGGAGCACTTCTCTCGCGTCCGGCGGCTTGTCTTGGCCGCCGAACCGCCCAGGGGGAGTCGTGTCTGCCCCCGCCTGGCGGGGACGGGATCAAAGGGAAGGGGCTTCCCTTCGACTCAACGACGACGTTGCTGAATTTCGCTGTGGCTGGCGCGCTCGAGGAGGAGGGCCCAGTGAGAGTGGGGGGAGCGGCGGCGAGCCTAGGGAAAGGGCCGGAAGTGGCGCAGGCAACGACGACGACGACAACGACCATGACGACGACGACGACGACGACGACGACGACGACGACGACGACGACGACGACGACGACAACGACCATGACGACGACGACGACGACGACGACGACGACGACGACGACGACGACGACGACGACGACGAGTCAAACTGAACAGCCTTTTCCACACGCCGACAGGGTCGGCGGGGGCCATGATATTTCCTCAGATTTCATGGCGCCTCTTCTCATTTCATTACATCCCCCGCCCCCCCCTGGGCCGCGCACATGCCGCCGGCCATGATTTGCGCCTCCCCTCTTGGACGCCCCCCTCTTGGCCGCCCCCGACCTCCCTCACCCATCCCTTCTTCTTCTCCCTGCATGTTCTCTCCCCCCCCCGCTTCACGCCTTGCTCTTCTACCCGTCTACGTGTTCGGGCTGCTGGAGGTCTTTCTCATTGCGGTGTTTGTGGGGCACACCCAAACGCTCCCTAGCTCTTCGCTTCTCCCTTATGCATTCGTGCTCAGCGGTTTGCTACTACCACTGAGCTGGTGCAATGCCGTACGCGTGCCCGCCGGATCGAGCTGCTCGGAAATTTGGTTCCCTATGGCCAGTACATCCTGTGTGTCCCCCGCCTTCTTTTCTGGACCTGGGTGTGGGGACCCAGACCAATCCATGTTCCATACGTGGGCGCCAGGGTGCACTCCAGGGTGCACTGGGTTTCTTGGGTTCCGATGGTTTTGCTATGGAAAGCGTGACGTTCCCACACCAAAAATCAATGGACGTCCTGGGATCTCAGTGTTGGGCTTCTCGCGGAATGTTTCTTGTGGTCGGGCCCCTACTGTACCCTTGCAGTCTTGCCTCTCAGTCCACCCCAGCCCTTACAAATGGGCCGTGGGCTTCCAACTTGGGCTTCAGTCTGGCGTCCAGGGGCCTTGCAACCTCGCCGCGCATCCTTACGATCTGTTTGTGCTGTGATCCTGCTGGTCCTCCCTCCCTCATGGCTCTGCCTCCTCCCCTCCCCAGACGACGACAACACGCTCCGTGGAAGGCAGACCACGAATGTGGAAGCCGTGACCTCCGAGAAGCGGGCCACCGCCAGCGTGTTCCAGGACGTGGAGGGGGGAGAGGAGGAGGAGGAGGAGAATGAGGAGGAGGAGAAGGAGGAGGAGGAGGAGAAGGAGGAGGAGGAGGACGGAGAGGAAGAGGACGAGGAGGATGAGGAGGAGGACCAGTGTGAACCCAAGAGTCATCAACGATGTTGAAATAAACCCTCCCTCCAAGCTCCCTCGTCATAGGCCCCTACCACGGTTCATTTCCTTTGAGGGAGCTGCCTCGTTGGATGACAACCGTTTGAAGATCCTGAAGCATGCCAAAACATGGTTCTCGGGATTTCAACGCCGCGGATCAACCTGACTGATGCGTCTTGACGATCTGGAATCGTACCAGAACGCCATTTTTGGGACTTCACCACCGCGAATCAACATAATTGTTGCAACCGCATAATCCGGAACCCTTCCAAAACACCATTCCTAGTACGTTGATCATGGGAATTTGTGAAACTCTTGCAAAGTTTAAGAAGATGAACGCGGCGCTGAGGCGAGAGCCACATTTTGAAAAGGAACCGCCCTCAATCCGTGAAACGCTTGCACATTTTTAAATCGAATGTGTGCGGTGCTAAGGCGAGAGCCACATTTTGAAAACGACCCACCCTCCATCTGTGAGACTCTTTGCGATTTTTGTGAAAGGAATGTGCGCGGCGCTAAAGCGAGACCCACATAAGCAACCCGCCCTCCATCCGTGAAACTCTTTGCACATTTTTAATACGAATATGCGCGGCGCTAAGGCGAGAGCCACATTTTGAAAACGACCCTCCCTCAATCCGTGAAGCTTTTGGTTTTTTCGAACGAATGTGTGCGGCGCTAAGGCGAGAGCCACATTTTTAGCACCACCTGCCTTCAATCCGTAAAGCTCTTACACATTTGAAAAATAATGTGCGCGGCGCTAAGGCGAGAGCCACATGTTGAGAGCGGCCCGCCCTCCATCTGTGAAGCTGCTGTCACTTTTTAAGCTTCAGAGTCATACACGGTAAGGAAGTCTCAGGCGAAACGCCTGGCCCGCCCTAAAAATTGGCCTCGGGGTGCGACAGGGAGAAGTTATTTATAAGGAAACGGAATGGAGGAGGAGGAGGAGGAGGAGGAGGAGGAGGAGGAGGAGGAGGAGGAGGAGGAGGAGGAGGGGAGGGGGAGGGGGAGGGGGGGGGGAGGGGGAGGGGGAGGGGAAGGACGTTTTGGATGAGATGGCAAAGCACAGCGAGTACAACGGCGGCCGCCCACCCAACCTCCACCTGAGCTCCATCCAGGAATCCTGGGCGATCTGCCGTCGCCCTCTCGGCGCGCCAGCGATTGAGCGCTGGGCCGGGGCACCGCCGAAGGCGGGTGGGTTTTCCAGGAGAGCCCCGAATCTATGCCACCACAGGGTGAGGACGAGCAGCGCCGTGGCCTCGACCATCCGAGAACTCGCGTCGAGCTCCGCGTGCTCCTCATCCGGCCGAGCTGATGGTGCAAGAATTCTAGACGCTTCGCGTAGAGACAACCCCTAGGACCCTCACCCAGCTTTTGGACCTCCTGCCGGACCTGCCTGCACCGCAGGGCCCAGTCCTGAGCGACAGGAACGTCTCGAATCCCACCCTAGGCGCTGTAGACCCCAGCAGGCTTGGCTCCAGCGGACTGTGCGCACGGCGATCGCTAGTAACCTTCCTCCGAGATTTCCATCCTGGACTGGAATACTCCTGGAGGCAGTTTTGTATCGCCAACCGCGACAGAAGCGCCCCGGAGCCCAGCTACGACGAGGCCTCCCTGCCTGACGAGCTCCTGTCAGAGTTCCTTAGGACCATATACGGCGATTATATCCCAGACGACTGTCTCCCTCCCAACCAGCTCTGGGAAGGCAAGCGCGTGGCCGCAGCGCGAGTCATAGCACACCTGGCCAACGGCGAAAGACACAAAGAGCCCTGGAGGACTTATGCGGCGACGCTCGCCCCGGCAAATGGCTTCGATCCCATCCGACACGAGATCAGCACGCTGACGGGCTTCCTACTCAGCCTCGGTGCCGATGCCCTCGCCGCTACTACCAACACCTCCCTGGCCGAGTCTCCCCCAACGGGCGTCTTAGCCATGAGCGACGACAGACCAGACACTCCCATGGCCGCTGACACGGACAGGTCCCTGGGCACGATGGACAACGACTCGCGCATGGGCCACCAGGACCCGCCCGACCACAACGGCAACGACGGGAGCACGGAAGAAGAGATCCCTCCTCCAAAGGTGGAGTCTCCCGACTTCGGGGATGACGAACCACCTCGTCCTCTTGCCTGCTCAGAGTCGGCCCAGGACGACGACGGTGATCGCTCAGGCGATGAGGCGCCTCAGCAAAGCCCATCGGCGGGCAGCTCCGACGCCAGCCGCGACGAGACTGCGACCTCAGCCGAGGCGGAAGCGCCCCACGCCGACCGCCGTAGCGGCCCGGCCCGTGATCCCACGAGAGACGAGAGAACCCGAGACCGGGATGTCTCGCGGTCCGAGCGCTCTTCCGCGCCCACCCCGCAGCTCCCTGGTCAGAGGCGCTATCACCCTGCCCATACTGGTACATCGGAGCAGGATGCACTCAACCGGTTGACCTGTCCGGAAGGGGGCGGCCCCATGTACAAAGTCCGGCTGGGCACAGTTGACCTCGAGCGTCCCAATGAGACTCCAGCCAAACGCATAACCAGGCTTCAGTCGGAGCTGGGCGCAGTCTTCTGCGCGCTTTGGACAGCAAACACGCAGCGAACTTGGATCCCTGGAGCCAGGGCGCCCAAATCCGACCCGAAACTACACACGGCCTCGGACATCAGCAACTTTCTCGACGCCTGGAAAGACTGTGGGTACGACGCCTACGAGATGAACACGAGGCTGGGCTATAGCATTGACTGGGACAGACTACGAGCCAAATACCTGCGGCACTCCCGAACAGACGACAGGGGCAAAGGCAGCTACCACCAGACCGACTGGCGGGACCGCGCGTCGGGCTCCTGGAACACCTGGGGCAGCTGGCAGGGCGAGTGGAGGGACGGATGGCGCGAAGATCGCTGGCAGTCGGGTGGCAAGCGCGGCGGTGACTGCCCCGACGATCGGGACGATAGAGATGAAAAGAGGCTCCGCTGGAGGGATTGAGCCCACTCTTCGCTCTCTCCCCGCCCCCAGCGCCTAGCGCCACCACCTGCACCTCTCTACACAATGTTTGCGGCCCTCCGCCGCCTTCTTTCGCCGACCGTGGGGCCGCACCACCGCCCCCCTCTCCTGGACGGCACTCCTCCTACCTTTACTTACTGTCCACTGCCTGCCCGCTGCTGGACTGGCGGCTTCCGGGCCCTACTGTAGGTCTTTCACCGCCAGGCGTGCCCTGGCGCGCGTTTGCGGACGCTGGCTTGCCTGTCCACAGGCCCACTCCCTGGATCTCGTAAAAGATGGACGGCCTTCCGCCGTGACCCTGGATCGAATCGAAGTGGCTCTGAGGGATGCGTCTTGGGTTGGTCCGTCGCGTCCCTCGGGTGCTATCCGACTCGGTCTGGGTAGCGCTGAGACACTTTGGATGTGCACACGTCACGTGGTCAACCGTGTATCGTGCACTGCGGCGCCCTCCCACTCGGTGGGTTCGGGCTCGCGCATCCCAGTTGTGAAGGGTTCTCCGCCATCATCGGCCCGCGCCCTGGATGCGCGTTCTGGCGTCGCGACATGGATTTGCCGTCAGGATTTTCCGCTGGCTGACGTCCCCAGTCAGTCTGTGTTACCCGTCAGACTCCCTGGATCGTTACCCTCGGGCACCCTTAAATGCTGAACGGCCTTCCGCCGTGACCCTGGATCGTAGTGACTCTGAGGGCTGCGTCTTGAGTATATGACGTCCTCGTCCCTCGGGTTAGCGGACTCGGTTTGCGTAGCGCTGAGTCACTTTGGATGTGCACACGTTTCGCGACCGTGTACCGTGCACTACCGCGCCCCTCCACTCGATGGATCTGGGCGGTCGCATCGCAGTTGTGGAAGTTTCTTCTGTCATCATTCTCCACACCATGGATGCGCGATCTGGCGTCGCGACTCGGAGTCGCCGTCAGGATTTTCCGCTGGACTTGCGTTCCCAGCCATTCTGTTTACCTGTCTGGCTCCCTGGGTCGCTGTCCTCGGCACGTTCCTTTGTTCGCAGTTGGACTTCTGGGAACGCCTCTCGCGCCATTTTGGTTGCGCTTGGTCTCCTCGGTGCCTGGCTTCAGGCTCCCTGGATGCACCCTTGCATGCCCGTTCTGGGGCTGTCTCAGGCTCCCTGGACTGCACGTCGGCTCTGCCGCCCTGGGCGCTGCCCCCCCCCCCCCCGCCGCCTGATCCGCGGCCCCCGCGCGCGCGCTCGGCAATTTAGTCGCGGCCGTAGCCCCCGCCCGCGACCTCCCGCCGCTGGCGCTTCCGCCTGCGGCTGTAAAAAAAGTATCCCCACCAGCCCGTCCAGAAACGACGCCCAGGCGAGTAGAGGGTCGTCCTGAGGGGCTTTTCGGCGTCTTGGGTGCCTCGGGGGGGCCTCTTTGGGCCGTTTGGGATCCTCTTGGGGGCCTCCTGGGGGCCTCTTGGGGCCATCTTGGGACCATCTTGGGGCCTCTTGGTGCCTCCTGGGCGCTTCTTGGGGCCATCTGGGAGGAAATCGATCAAAGAAGAGGGGAGCTTCAATTAGCGCTGCCCCCTCAGAGGGCCAAAATGGGGCCAAAACCTTGGTAACATCAATGATTTTGGCTTCCTCGGCGAGGCCGTTTTGGACGCTCTGACCGCTCCCCGCCCCCCCTGTCCAGGTCATTGGGGAGGGGGTAGGGGGAGGGGTAAACCCCTCCCCGAAGGGGAAGAAGGAGGGGTGGAAGAGGAAACTCGTTAAACCACCGACGCCCTAAAGGGCTGGTGGGAATCCGTGCGGACCGCGCTTTGGCAGCACATGCGGAAGGCCATCGCGGCGTAGTGCGTTGTGCCGTCGTGGCGCAGCTTAGGCGAAAAGAGCATCGCCATCATCACGCGGCGGTGGAGGCCCCTCTGAGCGCAGTAGTCGCAAGGGCGGGCAGATGGGGCAAGGCCCCATCTCGGATCAGGAGGAGGAGGAGGAGGAGGAGGAGGAGGAGGAGGAGGAGGAGGAGGAGGAGGAGGAGGAGGAGGAGGGTAGGAGGAGGAGGGGAGGAGGAGGAGGAGGAGGAGGAGGAGGAGGAGGAGGAGGAGGAGGAGGAGGAGGAGGAGGAGGAGGAGGAGGAGGAGGAATAAGGAATAATAATAATAATAAGAAGAAGAAGAATAAGAATAATAATAAGAAGAAGAAGAAGAATAAGAAGAAGAAGAATAAGAATAAGCAGAATAAGCAGAATAATAATAATAAGAATAATAATATTAATAAGAAGAAGAAGAAGAATAAGAAGACTAATAATAAGAAGAAGAATAATAAGAAGAATAATAATAAGAAGAATAATAATAAGAAGAAGAATAAGAAGAAGAAGAAGCAGAATAAGCAGAAGAATAAGAATAAGAATAAAAAGAAAAAGAATAAGAATAATAAAATAATGATACTAATAATACTAAGAAGACTAATAATAATAATAAGAAGAATAATAAGAAGAATAATAATAAGAATAAGACGAAGAAGAATAACAATAAGAATAATAATAAGAAGAATAATAATAAGACGAAGACTAAGAATAATAATAATAAGAAGAAGAATAAGAATAATAAAAAGAAGAAGAATAAGAAGAAGAAGAAGAAGAAGAAGAAGAAGAAGAAGAAGAATAATAATAATAATAATAATAATAAGAAGAAGAAGAGGAGGAGGAGGAGGAGGAGGAGGAGGAGGAGGAGGAGGAGGGGGAGGCGGAGGGGGAGGAGGAGGGGGAGAGGGAGGATCGAGGGTCTCGATGTTGCTGCCCATTTTCGCGCCTCCAGTGACCTCGTGAGGCGTCCAGGAAGCTCCAGAGACTGCTGGGGGCCTATGAGTATTTCCGAAGAGGAGAACGAGGATGAGGGAACAGGGTTTTTTGTTGGGAGTGGTTCTCCCCAGACAGTGCCTGTCGGAAGCCGGGCAATGGCTGCTAAATCCGTGGTTGCTAAAATCGACCTCCGGGAAGTTGTCTTCGTCCTTCAGGGAAGAAGCCCGTTGACTGTTTCGCGTGCTGCGCCTCACTCCGGGATGTTGTTTTTTCCTTCCAGGAGGGCCGTTTTAGCAGCCACGGTTTTAGCAGCCCTCGCCCAGCTTCCGAGCCTGCACGAAGGGTTCTTGCCCTGTCGGTGAAGCGATGGGGTCGGGCGCGCCGTGGGCGCCTCGTGCGCCGGGCAGGTTCTCAAGGTGTTCGCGGGGGGGGGCGCCTCGAAGGCGCCCAGGGGCGACGGCTGGGTTCCCCGGGGCCTCGCCTGCAGCGGGTCCGTGGGCGCCTCGTGCGCCTCGTGGGTTCCTCCGCGCGCTGGCTGGCGGTTCTGGGTTTTGTTCGGTGGGCACCGGGTTGGCGCCACACGGACTGCATGGTTCAGCTCATGGCACGAAGGCTACACCTCGTGGTCTGCGTCGAACAGATTGCACCCAGTGGCTTTCGCCAGAAAGCCTGCAGCAATAAGCTTGCACCGCGTTGCTTGCATCACGTATACAGTCGGTCCGAGGTATCAGATCGAGGTCGGTTCGGGGAGGGTACCCTAGTGTTCTTCGTTCTCGTCGGATGTTATTGTGCATCTCGGGGAGGGTACCCTTAGATGTTCTGTGTGTTTTGGCCGGCGGAGGGTCTCGTGTTCTTGAGGGATGCTCTTCTGGCCTAGGCCCGACTGTATTGCACCTCACAGAATGCACCACACATATTGAGGCATAGAGCTCACACCTCACATACGTGCACCACTTATGTACGGGACACGGCCATGCTGTGTTTTCTTTGTTCTTTCTGCTCTTTCGGGTCTTCTGCCGCGCGGGCGTGCTTCGTGCCGTCTGTGGTTTTTGGGGCTCTGCAGGGGGCCGTTGTCGACACGGATGGATCGGCTTCGCAATTTCTGTCGGGCCATTCTTGTAGGAGGGAGATCGAGTCAGGAGCGGGAGCAGTAGTGCGAGCAGGTGGAGGAGGAAGGATAAGAGGAGGAGGAAGAGGCGGAGCAGGAGGAGCAGGAGGAGGAGGAGGAGGAGGAGGAGGAATAATGTAAGGAGGAGGAGGAGGGAGGAGGAGGAGGAGGAGGAGGAGGAGGAGGAGGAGGAGGAGGAGGAGGAGGAGGAGGAAGGAGGAGGAGGGGAGGAGGAGGAGGAGGAGGAGGAGGAGGAGGAATAATGTAAGGAAGAGCAGCAGGAGGAGGGTCTGTGAGGAAGGTGGTATCCCTCAAAAACCATGGCCCGGGGTCGGGCCTGCGGGGGACTGGTGGCGATGGTGACGGTGGATGCTCTCCCTCTCCATGGGAGGAAGAGCAGGAGCAGTGCGGAGGAGGAGGAGTGGTAGCGCCCAGGAGCCGCGCAGGACACGAAAGCGACGCGGGATTGGAAACATCACGACGGGCGGGGGCGATCATCGAAGGAGAGGCGTGGGAACCCTTTTTCGCGCTGTGAGTGCTTGCCCCACCGCGCCAGGGGCCAGCGGCACGCCACCCCCCCCCTCCAGCGAAAGACGCCCAGTGAGGCTCGGGGCCGGCACCCGCCCTCTTGGCCTCGGCGGTCGCCCTTTCTTCCAGGGCCTGCTCACCCAAGGCCCCCGCCCCAGAGCCACTTGAAACGCAGCAGGCGAGGAGGGATGGTGATAATAGTTTTAGTAACATGCGAATGCTGCGAATGAAATAGTACTAGTAATACTGTGGACGACGCTGATGCTGATTATGATGATGATGATGATGGCGGTGGTGGTGATTATGATTCTGATGCTGCTGCTGCTGATGATGATTGTGGCGGTGGTGATGACGATGATGGTGGTGGTGACGATGATGATGATGATGCTGATGCTGATGCTGCTGATGATGACGATGACGATGATGACGATGACGAAACCGATTACGAAGATGCTGACGATGAGAAGGAGGTGGAGAATAAGGAGGAAGAGGAGGAGTAGGAGGAGGAGCAGAAAGAGGAGGAGTGCGGACCTCGATGATTACTGCATTTCGAGTCAATCTTACATGTGATACCGTTGTGGCGTTTTAGGATGCATTACCATACCAACCTCACGCGCATGATTCAGTTTTACCTTTCCCTCTACCAGCAGTCGCTGAGTGAATTCACATTTGGACACACTTCTTTCGTGAAGCTTCGGAGTGCCACGTTCGGAGCTACAAACCCGTATCCCCCACTCATTCGCTTGCAATTTCGGTCGCAGCCAAGGGAGTATGTACACCTATCCAGGTTGCCGACGAGGACGGCAACGGCAGCGTCTCCATCGCTGAATTGAAGGGTGTGCTCAAGCAGCAGGACAGCATCTTAGTTGCCATTGCTTGTTTGCTGCCTTGAAGTCTCACGCTGTCACGCAGGCTGAGTGTACCCAGGCTGATGCAGGGAGAAGGGAATGGCAGGGAGTGAAACACCATATGTTGTCGTTCCATGGGGTAGGCGCATGCGCTCCTTTGTCTCTTCCAATGGGGGGGAAAGCGCGGATTGTGGGGAGCATCGGTCGATATGGGGGCATCGGGGCCAGCTGCTTGAGTAGGTGGATGTTCGGGTGTTCAACGGCGTTCGTGACAGATTACTTCGTCGGAGATCCTGGGGTGGTGGCGCTCTCCCCGCCGCTTCCCAGAGATCTGATGTCTTGTGCTTCTCAAGGCGGGCCCCCTCTCCCCAAAGCGTCGACCCTTGCTCTCCCCGGGGCCGGCTCTCTGGCCCTGGAGCCCGGCGAGTGCCTCCAGAGGCCGAACGAGGCAGAACACAAGAAAGCCCGGTCTTGATTGCTAAGGCCGTACGGCCAGTGCCGCCGACCCAGGAGGAGGAGGAGGAGGAGGAGGAGGAGGAGGAGGAGGAGGAGGAGGAGGAGGAGGAGGAGGAGGAGTGGACTGGGAGGGGGAGGAGGAGGAAGGCCCGGTCTTGATTTCTGCAGCGCGCTGGATCCCTGGGCCCGCGGACGGCGCCCGGGCGACTCTGGCAACCGCTCTGCGAGGCTGTTCCGCCCAGGCGCGGGGGGGCGGTTCTGGCGAGCGGCCCGGGGCCCGCCCTGGTAGTCGGACCAGCTCTTCTGTCGGGGGCGGCAAAGAGGGGGGTGATGACTATCGGGTCGGGCGAAAGGGGGGGATTGGGAAAGGGGGGGGTTACGAAATTTGCGCATGCAGCTGGTTTCGGCCTCACCGAGGGGCCCATTCCTCGATACTTAGCCGCCTCCAGCGCCGGGAGGCGCCGGGAAAATCAGCTACGTGAGCTGATTCTCACCCCCCCCCTTTTCTATCCCCCCCTTTCGCCCGACCCGAGACTAGGGGGGGGTGGATATGGCGTGGGCCATGATCTTTCCCCAGATCTCATGTCGCCTCTTCTTATTTCGGTACGTCCCTGGCCCCCCCCGGGCCGCGCGCACGTGCCGCTGGTCATGATTTGCACCCCCCCGCTCTTGGCCACCCCCCTCTTGGGCACCCCCCTCTTGGCGCCGCCCCCGGCTTCTGGTGAGCGGCTCGTGCGACCGCGCTGTCGTGCTTGCGCGACGGGCCGCGCCGCGGCTCGGCGGCTCGTGGCCCCGTGGCTTCGCCGGCCCTCGCCGCTCACGGGCGCGTGGGGCGAGCCCCGGAGAACGCCGTTGAAGGAAGGGGGGCTGTTCCCGCCGCGGGCCTCTCCCAGGGGGCCGTTCCCGCCAAGGAGAGCACCCGGCAGGGGGATGCGCCGCGCAGCGCCGCGTGGGCCACGCAGCGGCCGGGCCGGCCGGGAGGGGGCCGCGGGGCCGCAGGGCTACACCGCGCTCAAGCAGGCGCCCCGCGCCCCCCCCCCGCGCCGCCGCGCCGCCGCGCCGCTGCGGCGCGGGCGCGCGGGCGAGCGCAGGTCGCGGGCCAGCCGTGGGCGAGGATCGAGGTCTCTCGATCCTCGAGTGAAATCGGGTATGTCCCTCTACAGGAGGCATCTTCAAACATGTTTTAAAGGATAGTCCGGATCCAATGTTTGCTAGTATTTTTGGATTAGTATGGAATATGTGTTTTGTCCGTTTTTAGTTGTTCTTCCAAAATGTGCCCGTAAGAGCCTGCCCGACCTAATTTTAGTCCTCCCAGATGGGGTCCGAGTAGATGGGGTCGGATCATCGCGCTGCATCGCTGATACATCGGCGGTGCGACTCGATGTGGGGCCCGATGTTCGCCACGCCGGCGGCGCACATGCATCGCCGCCGTCGCCGATGCATCGGCCATGCGGCGCGATCCTCCGACCCCACCTGCTCGGACCCCATCTGGGAGGCTTCCAGAAACTCGATCCTCGAACTTCGATTCTGCAGTACGATCGGAATGGCTACGGAACTCATGGGTACGAGGACCGGCAGCAGTTCCCTTGCCGCTTTTGAGCAGGGCTCTCTGTCGGTGTCGCCGCAGACGTCGCTCGTTCGAGACAGAAGGCCGCCTGCCCAACGGCTGCCGCTGTCGATTTTGGACGACAATTGCTGGTGGGCATTGTTCCCGTTATTTCCGTACCCATTCCAGGCGTCCGAAGTTCTCGAACTTCGACCACCAGCCCTCGAAGCTCGTCCCGTAGCTTCGCTCTGTGAAGCCTTCGTCTCTCGGGCCTCGTTCCTCCTTTTCCTCCTCGCTCGAACCTCGATTCACCTCGAACTCTCGAGGTGCCTGGTTCTCGTTCAGAAGCCTCCTGGGGCACCCCCACGGCCGGATTCCCATCGGAATTTCCTTGGCCAGAGCGCACCCCTGGAATGGGAGGTTGAAGCTCAGATCTCCGAGCCTTGGGGTGGCCCAGACCCCCTCGCGTCGCAGATTACTTTTGATGATAGCTTGGTTTAGCCGCTTTCGGCATCTGGGGACCGCGAGAGGCCAGCTGAGGACGACAGCCAGCTCAGGACGAAAGTCGGAAACTGGAACGTATACCAGTGGCGGGCTGTTGCTTGAATCCCAGGTCTTTTTGAGGGTCGGGGACTTCAGCGCAGGGTCGGGAAAAGCGTCGGTGTATAGAGTTCGTTGCCCTAGAAAGCTCAGCTCGAGGCCCCTGCGACGTGACGCAATGAGGACGTCGCGGGGTCCTTCTGGACCTTTGCGCCGCCCGACTGTGTTCTACATTCGGAACAAAAGGGAGGGGGTCACAACCCTCCAAGACGAGCAGTCTGATTCCACTTCCAGACCAGCCATGACAGGGCGGCCTTTTGCTCAGACCCCAGTGTAAGCCCCCAGGACAGCGCGAATCAGACCCCCGCCCAAATCAGACCCCCCCCTTTTAACCTGGAAGGGTCTTTAGTTTTGATCTTCCCTCCCTTGTTTCGCGGCGGGGAAATCCAACTCGGCCCTCCACTTCCTCCTGCTCCTGCTCCTCCTCCGCCCTTTCCTCCTCGTCGTCGTCGTTGTGGCGCGGCGGGTGCTGCGGGCGAATCATTATTGAATCGCTTCGCTCATTCCGCCGGCCCGTGATATTGCATCGCTGGTTTTTGTCTGTGTGTTCGTTGCCCATGTTGCGCTCTTGGGGGCGGGTGTCGTTCGGACGCGTTGCGTGGGGAGTTTTGATGGTGAAGCAGTTCCCTGGGGGTCGTCTCTCGATGGGGCGAAATAGAGTCGTCGTCAAGATGCTTCTTTGGGGGGCCTCTTGGGGTCTGTTGAGAGGCCGTTCGGGGGCGCCTGGGAGACATGTTTGAAGCCTTCTGGGGCTTCTTTTGGGCCTCCTGGGAGTCTCCTGGGGCCTCTTGGCGACATCTTGGGGCCTCTTGGAGGCCTCTTGGGGCCTCTTTGGGACCTCCTGGGCGCCTTCTGGGACGGAGGGCTCCATTTTTGAGTTCTCGGTATCCCTCCTGAGTCCCTCTTGGGCCCGTCTTGGGGCCTCTTGGTCCGTCTTGGGCGGCACTTGGGCCGTCTTGAGGGCTCTCTTGGGTCGTTTCGGCGCCGTCTTGGGAGCTTCGTGGGCCGTCTTGGAGCGGTCTTGGGGGCCTCTTGGGCCGTCTTGGAGCGTCCGGAAGCCGAAAAAGCCAGAACACAAAAAACATCGAAAAAACCAATGAAAATCAACGATTTTGGCCTCTTGGGGCTCTCTTCGGAGGCCTCTTGGAAGGCTCTTGGGGCGTCTTGGAGGCCTCTTGGGCTGTCTTGGGGGCCTTTTGGGCCGTCTTGGGGTCATCTTCGGCGTCTTCGAGCGCTCTTTGGGCGTCTCGGGGGCCTCTTGGGCAGTCTTGGGGGCCTCTTGGGGCACTCTGAGCGCGCTCTGGGGAGCCTGAGAGGCCGCACCCAGAAGGAAAACCATCTCTGAGTAGACTTGGTCGGGCGGCGGTCGGGCGGCGGGCCGGTCGGGGTACTTTTCGCCGGGGGACCCCCAGGGGCCGCCCCGCGCGCGCGAACTAGAAATACTGTTAATACTGTTAACCAGTTACCGGAGATCTTAGCACGCCCTGGCCCGTTGGGCCGGCGAATTTTCCGCGATTGGTGGGGCCCCAGTCCGTCAATGAGGGCGTCGAAGCGATCAGATAAGTAGTCTTGACTGTTTTGGGGAGGGTTTTCTGAAGACCCTTCGGGCTTTCTGTGACATCTGGAGCAGCTCCGTGCTCAACGCCTCGGAGGCGTGCCCCAGGGTCTCGAGGGCCTCCCCCGTGGTGCGGCGGCGGGCGTGGGCCCCTGCCCTGCCCCTGGGGGGCGCGAGCGTGTACACGCGTCCACCTTCCCCTGCCGGCGGCGAGCGAGGGGGAGAAGTGAGCAGGAGAAGGCCTTCCCAGAAGGCGGCGGGGCTTCGCAGAAGCCCTCGCGCCTTTGAGAGGTTTTCCGTGTCTTCGGGGAAGGCTTAGAACATTTCCGAGCCTTCGCGAAGGCCCGCCCCTTCTCGCTTCTCCCCCGGGCCCTCCGCCGACCCTGGGGATCCCGGGCGAGACTCTGGCAGTGGTGGTCGCGACTGTTTCCTGGCGGGGGACTCGTCGCCTTCGACACCCTTCCCCAGAGATCGTTGATGACCCCTTGGGTCAGGCGATCGCACACATGGATCAGGGGGGCGTGGATTAGCGGCGGGCCCCGTTTCCACAGGAACTCGCAGATTGCCGCCGCCGAGCGAGGCGCCAGCAGCCGCATTTTGATGAGGGCACCTCCCCAGACCCATGGATTTGGCGACCGCGCGCCAAATCCATGGATCGCTAATCCATGTTTGCGCGCCCCCGATTGGGGGCGGGGACGTCTACGCATCCACCGTTCCCTGGGGATCCGGGGCGGGACTCTGGCAGCTTGTGGGCGTGAAGTCCGAGCATTTTTTCTGGGTGGAGGGCAAAGGGTGAAATCTGAAATGCCGTTTCGACGGATTTTGGAGGCTTGAATCTGCAAGAGGTGAATCACAATACGGATTGGTTTTCGAGGTGCAAAAGCCCATATGGATTTCACCCTGAGCCCTCCACTCTAAGAAAATACCTGGGGCAGACGCCTCCAGATCCGCTGCCAACTGAGTCCAGCTCCCCTGCCGTCAGTCGCGCGACCTCCTCGCGATGCTGCTCCCGCTCGGTGGCTCGGTCCTTCTCGTACTCAGCGTAGGCTGCGTGGCGGTCGCACTCCTGCGCCGTTGCCGGAGTGGGTCCACTTCGGCAGAGCTCGCGACAGAGGCTCGGGCTCCGACAGATCCCAGCATCCTGCGGTGCCCATCGGGATCGCGCCGTGCGCGAGCTCAGCCCCTGGCCCTCCGAGATGGCCTCGGGACAACGGGCCTTCTGCTCCTCCGTAGCCGTCTCTCTCAGCGGCCTTGACGGTCCGCCGTGCTGAGGCTGGTCCCTTTCCGTCGAACCCCCAATCCTCGAAGCTTTGTATTTGGGACCAGTTTCTGCCTGTAAAGCCAAACGCGCAGGGAGTTGGCCACAAATGAATGCATCTCGGGCTCGGTGCGTCGAAAAGGCCCGACGCGCACCAACCGCTGCAAGCGCAGTGGCGGATCCGTCTTCAACTTCTTCATCTTATTCATATTTGTTTCTTCTCTTTCGTCTTCTTATCCCCATTTCTATTTCGTGTTTATGATAGTTGTTTCGTCTGTTTCAATTATGTGTAATATTCTTCATTTCACGAGTTTGATTATTAACCGTATTACTCATAAGATAAGTATTTGTTCAGTATTATTTCTTATTCTTCTCATGCTATCAGCCCCCGTGTGTCAGCGCGAAAGTGCATCCTCTTCCTTGCCTGGCGTCTTTGGCCATTTGGGCTCAGGCGCTCGGCCGTTTCAGACTCCCGGTTGGGCGGCGAAGCTGGCCGTTGGGCCTGCGCCCTCGACGCCGCGCCGCGGCGAGCACGGGGAGATAACCCGTTTGGCGCCTGCCATGTCAGCGCGCGGGAGCAAATGCAGACGGAGACGGGGCGGAGGGTTGTGGACGAAGAGCGATCGCGAGCGGCAGCGCTCCGCACGACCCTCCGGGGCGGGAGCCGGACCGCCAGGCGGACATAGTCACCATCTCGCCGAGCCCGGAACCAAGCGACGAGGATCGGCTGGTGTTCCGTGGGGGCGCGTGGCGGCAGAGATCACGTCCATGGCGAAGTTGACGCCTGCGGCTCGGGGCGCCGACGACGGGCAACCGCGCCGTCGCGACCAGCCCGGCCAAATGTCATTACTGCGAGGACGGGTGCGGATTTGTCTCCTGCTTCGCTCTGGCATTGGAGGGCGGTGAGACGCCATTCTTCGAGAACGTCAGTTCGACGCGCGCGAGCACGTCGCCAAGGCCCTGGGCGGCGAGTTTCCGCGGACGGTCATGCGCAAAATCTTGGACCCGTCGCGCCAGCGCCACTAAATGCGTCTCAAGTGCCACGGGAACAAGCAGCACATCGACGCGGGAAGTGGATCACGCCCGGGACCGACAGCCAAAAGTTCGGGTGGTTCATTTGGAGGAGTAAACAGAAAGGGTTGCCGCCGCAGCAGACCAAGACCATCGAGCTCGCCATGGAAGCGGAACTCGCGAAGCATAAGGACAGTCCAGTGGTCTGCCACGTCAGCCCGGCGGAGGTCTTCGAGGCTATCTTGACGGACGAGCTTGCGGGAACTTCGGTAGACTTCACGATTGCGCATCGCCGTCGGTCACGGTCTTCGCCCGGCGCTTGGCGGCGCATTGGGTCCACTCACTGACCCGTGAGTGCTGCCTTGCGTGCCGCGGGCCCGGGAGGCTCGTCGCCGGGTCTTCTGGCCCGGCGTCGGCGAGGACCCCACCCCTTTGGCCTCGGACGCCCAAGCCTAGGAGCGCTGGTTTCGCTCCCGGTCGCCGGAGCCAAAGAGCTGTCCTTCCTGGCCAGCTGGCTCAAAACCTGGGCCGAGCCTCCGCAGCCACCTGGTCCACCACCAGGGTTCGCCGCGCTAGCGCCTGGACGCCGGGGCGACGACGCGCGACCGCGCCAGTGTCCCACCGACTAGGGGTGCCACCGGAGCTGGAGCCGCCACCTAGCTTCAAGCGTGCGTCGGGACCTTCGGCGCCCGCTGGCAGCCCGGGCCAGGCACAGTACCGGCAGTCCACGTACGGCAAGAAGGGCAACAAGGGCAGCAATGAAAAAGGCAAGCAGAAGGGGGCCCCCACGGCCGAGTCCGAGTTGGCTCCCAGGAAGACCCGTCGTGGTGGTCTCAACTGTAAGAAGGTGCGGGGCCAGAAGCGCGCTGCCTCGAAGCAGGAGAAGGACGTGGCAGTCGACGACGACTGAAAGGTCCCGACCGTTCTGGACGCGGACGCTGAGGAGCCCGCAGCGGACGCCGACGCCGCGAAGAAACCTGTCTTTGAGAAAGAGCTTCGCAGCAGCGAGGGAGAGGACCTCTGACAGAGCGGCGAGGCGCAGCGCAGGACATCGCCATCCGCGCTCCCTCATCGAAGACCCACGTTTTTTCCAGCTCCGCTCCACCAGTCCAAGCCCCGTCACATCCTCGCCTCTCCGCCCTACGGGTCGCGTGTCACACTTCGTGGAGTTTCGCTCGGACATCGGTCGCCCCGACCGCGACGGACGGCCTTCGCGTATACACCGTCAGCGCACTTGTTTAGCCACCTCAAACCATCCAGGTGATCTGTCCGGTGCCGTTCCTAAGAACACGAGCGTGCCTTCAGAGTGCAGTCGGTGAGCGTGCACCCTGCCTGCCCGGCGCGCGCTCCCCCCAGGTGGCTGCCAGTTGTCTTGCGCGGATTGGCAGGCGCGCGGATTTGGGACACTTTTGGCATTGTTTTTTATGGGTTCCTGTGCTCCTCAGGTGTTCGATCGCCCGCGCAGTCCCGATTCGAAACGGATGCCCAGCAGCTATTTGGGTTCAAGTGCCGGATCGCATGCATCTGATGACAAAAAAAGGCCCGGTTTAGCGCCGCCGTGCTTTTTTTTCAGTAGCCACCACCACCCGCAATTATAGTTCTTCCTCTTCTTTTCTGCGGCGCGCCCAGGGGGAAAGGCAGGGGCCGACCTTCCCAGAAGGCTCAGAAGGCCTTTCTGGAGAAACGCCCCGATCAATTTCTGAAGACACGGAGGGCTTCCAGAGGGTTTCTGAGAAGCTCAGCCGCTGCCGGAGAAGGCCTGCCCCCTCGCCGTGGCGCGCGCCCCATCCTCCCCCTCCTTGCCGCCAGTTCGTCGGGGGGTCGCGCGCGCGAGGTCATCGCGGAGATCAGCATGGAGCTCGTGGAGGCGTCCATTCCGCCCAGCCGCCGACGACCGGCGTGCGATATGGCACCCATGCGCCACCTTGTGTGCTCGCGGCAGGTTCTGCCCACGCCCGAGGATGCTCGCGCCCGGCTTCAGGAAAGCAGCACTCAGGAGGGAAAGAAACACACAGACACACTTAATCGTCGACTCCCCCGAAAATATGGAAAGTATGGTAAGTGGGGGGGAAGACAAAAACCCAGAAAATATGGGAAAATATGGGGAGCCTTTTTATTTGTGTGTATTTATTTGTGTGTCCTGGGGCCCCTTCAAGCACGTCTTCGTGTCCGAGCGGTGCAGACCAGCTCGTGGGGGCCTGTGTGCTTCGTTGTGCTCGGCCAGTGGAGGCCGCTGCTCGGCCCTGGGGCGGTCCAGGAACTACGCAGGATGAAAGCCATCCCCGGGGAAGTGGTCGACCCCGGGGGCCGACGTCCCGAAACACCGCAACGTCGGTGGGGACGAACACACTGATGCCCTTTCTTCGTTTTCGCCTCTGTGGGCAGCCTCGGGAGGGGCCTTGTCGCCACGGCTGGACTCGCGTCGGGATCCTGGTTGGAGCGCGCGCCGTGAAGGGCCCTGACAGCGGTTTTCGTTTTTCTTTATTGTTGCGTTCCTCCGCGCACGACCTTCAAGCATGTGCTGGATCCTCGTCTGTTTTTCGGCGTGCACGGCGTGCGGCTTCAATGGTTGGGCTATTCGTCCGTCCAAATGGCGAGCGGTCGTGGTTTTGCAAGCGATGGTGCGTCTCGCACCCTCGAGCCTCGAGCAATGAATTGGAAACAAGCACACGCGATGACAATGACAATAGCAACGTTGAGAGGGTTGGGACATCAATTACGAGCTCGACTTCAACGAGTTCTTCGACTTCCTGATGATCTTTCACCAGCGGGAGGGGTTCTTGAAGGCTGCCCGCTTAGCCCCCAGCCCTCGGCGTCTTTTTGTTGTGCGCAGTTCGGTCTGATGCTAGACGTGCTCACCGTCGTCTGTGCACCCGCTGCCTTCTGAGTGCCTCTACTCGCTTATCCTCCAATCCTCGTCTCCATTCAAGCATGTTGTGATTACTGGGTGCTTGAGATCGGTGTTGATCACTGGCGTGACTGCTGTCCCCACAAGGCAGGCGTCTCTGCAGCTTGGAGCCGGCTCGGGGTCTCAGGTGGCCAAGCACTGGTTCCGGCCAGCAGGAAGGGGTGGGCAGGTTCCAGGTGTTGGGGCCGGGCATGTTCCTGTTCTTTTCGGCCTTTGGGGGCCGTCTTCCAACCCGGATTTGGGGTGCAAAACTGCACCAGATGGACCCCCGGATGGGCCTGGGTAAAACAGGGCTAGGATCGGGATAAATCGCTCCAGAGCGTTCCGGAGCGCTCTCAGAGCGTTCCGGAACGCTCTGGAGCGGCCGCGGCGCCCAAAACATCCTCCAAACCCGCCGATTCTCAGAAATTGCGAGTTATCCCGATCCGATTTTGTCCCGATCTTCGCGTCGGATGGGCCCGGGGACTGGTTTTGAGCGGATTCGCCCGCAGCCTCCTGTCTTGACCGGTGCTCTCGGGGCCCGTCCAGCTCCGGCCCCGCGGCCGCCTCCCACCTGCAGGTTCCACGATGGGCCTGTTTTCCACCACCACCACCACCAAATTAAGTTGGAGGTGGAGGAGGAGGTGGAGGAGGAGGAGGAGGAGGAGGAGGTGGAGGAGGAGGAGAAGGAGGAGGAGGAGGAGGAAGCGGACCCTCTCTCCCTCCAACTTGTGGTGGTGGTGGTGGTGGGAATCAGGCCCATCATTCCAGCCAGCAGGCGCTCCGTCTTTTCCAGCAGTTGGGACGAGCGCCTCACCCGGAGACCGCCCGCATCCGACCAGGGTGTTCCAGGCGTCGGCGCCCTGAAAAGGAGGGCCGGGGGGCCCTGGCACCGTGTGGTGACGGACCGTGTGGCGGCCTTTGGAGCCCCGACGACCTCGCGCGGCCCGTCACCGCACGGTTTCAGGACCCTGGGGTCCCAAAGCCGTGCGGTGACCCGGAATCCCCGCCGACTCACCACACCAGGGCTGTACCTAAACGGTGTTTTGGCGATTTCGTGGGCCGTTTTCGTTTCGACGTCGTTTTGTGGTAAAGGCGGATTCGAGGCAAAAGCCAGGGAAAACGAGAACACAACGAGAAGGAAACACACCGTTTAGGTTCAGCCCTGGTTCCAGACGTCGGCCCCCCGAAAAGGGGGGCGGGGGGCCCTGGAAGCGTGTGGTGACGGACCGTGTGGCGGCCTCGGGATCCCCAACGGCCTCCTGGCGCGGTCCGTCACCCCACTGTTTCGGGGCCCTGGGGTCCCATCAGCGGCACCGCAGCGGGTATCCACTAACGGGTACTTTGGAGATTTGCCGGAAGTTGCCGCTTTAGGGCCTCTTTCTGGCACTGCAGCGTTGCCAACATTTGGGAGGGTTGGGTTCGCCGGGTCACTGGCCAAATTACCCGTTGGTGGAGTCCCCGTTAGAGGGCGCTGATCCCAAAGCCGTGGGGTGACCCCGAATCCCCACCGACTCACCACAACGGCCCTCCACCGAATGTTCGGATTCTGGGCCGTAACTCGGGTCTCCGGCGGCCGTTCGGGACGATCCCAGCAGTCCCCGAACGCGCTCGACGAGGCGCAGCTGCTGGAACGCACCCCGAAGCAGAAAACCGCTAGAAAGCGACGACAACTTACGAACACCTCAAAATCCCTAACGTTCGGGGGCCTCCGAGAGGATCGGCGGCGAGCGAGGGGGGGAGTGAGTAGGAGAAGGCCTTCTCAGAAGGCGGCGGGACTTCTCAGAAGCCCTCTGACCTTCTGAGAAGTTTTCCGTGTCCTCGGGGAAGGCTTATAAAACTTCTCAGGAGGCCGGGGAGTTTCCGAGCCTTCTGAGAAGGCCCGCCCGCCATGGGCGGCGCCAGAGGCGCTGCCAGGGGGTCCAGTGCAAATCCAAGAAATCCGCGCGGGCCGTCAACAGTTTGTGTTTATGCTGCCTTTTCTTCCTCCAACTCCTGCAGCGGAGGCGCCCCCGTTCTCCGGGTCGTCCCGAACGGCCACCGAAGGGCCGAGTTGTGATCCAGAAGACACCAGTGCGTCCGTCCGAGAGGGGGCGGGCCTTCTCAGAAGGAGGACGGGCTTCTCAGAAGCCCTCGCGCCTTCTGAGAAGCTTTCTAGCCTCCCCCGAAGGCAGACACGGCTTCTCAGAAGGCCAGAGGGATTAGCCCCGCCGCCCTCCGAGAAGGCCTGCCCTCTTTCACTTCCTCCCTGGGCTCGCCGCCGAGTATGGTGCAGCCAGTGGGCGCAACCTCTGACCACGAAAAGCCGTCGAGTCGACACGCCAAGTTCCTGAGGAGGAGAAGCAGGAGCACCTGAGTGCCATCACCGTCTGGGGAGTATGTCCGCACCTTCTCCTCCTCCCTCTTCCTCCTCCGCCTCCTGCCTCTTCAACTCTTTCTCGGAAGATCCTTCCCCTCACTTCTCCCTCGCCACCTTCCCCAGGCAGAGGTGGAAGCCTTCAAGCGGGTCTTCCACGAGTTCGACGAGGAGTTCGGGTGTGGGTCGCAGGAGGAAGAGGAGAAGCAGGACGAATACTAGAGTCGAACCAGCATGCATCGACGATGCTGCAATCCCAGACCTTCAATTTCTTTCACAAGTTGAGGCGGACTTGTTTGTTTTCGGCGTCTCTGGGGGCTGTTTTCGGGTTCCGGGGCGAAATGCGATCTGGGACGAAACAAAGGGCTGGCTGGCAGGGGTCGAAAGCTTCGGGTCACGCGTGCTGGAAAACCAAGGTATCCTGGAATCCTAGGTCTGGAAAATACCCTCCCGTCCAAAGTTCCTTCCTTAATCGGCGGCGAGCGGGGGGGACCCGAGAAGGAGAAGGCCTTCTCATTCAGCGGCGGGACTTCTCAGAAGCCCTAGCGCCCCCTGAGATTTTTTCTGTGTCTTCGGGGAAGGCTTCTGAGACTTCTCAGAAGGCCGGGGGGACGTCCGAGCCTTCGGAGAAGGCCCGCCCCTTTTCACTAGGCCTCCTAGATGGGGTCGGAGTAGATGGGGTCGGAGGATCGCCTCGCATCGCCGATGCAACGGCGATGCATCGGCGACGCGGCGCGATGTGGGGCCCAGTGCTCTCCACGCCGACGTCGCCGATGCACCTCCGACGGCGCACGAGCATCGCCGCTGCATCGGCGCTGCATCGGCGATGCGGTGCAGTCCTCCGACCCCATCTGCTCCGACCCCACCTAGGATCGGGAGGGGGAAAGCACACACACACACACGGACACGGACACAACTCATCGTCGATTCCCCCGAACATATTGGGAACCTATGGGCAGTGGGGGGGGGGGAAGACAACAGCTCAGAACATACAGGAAACTATGGGGGATCCTTTTCTCTGTGTGTACTCCATATTTCGTAATAAAAGGGAGGGGGTCTGGACCCTCCAAGACAAGCCATTTCAGACCTCCCCCCGTGGGAGAACCCTCCAAAACATCGTCCCTAGACCCCCCCAGGCCCTCCAAGATAGCCTGGAAGAGACCCCCCCCCGAAATGAGACCCCCCTCCATTTAGTACGAAATCTGGAGTATTTACTTGTGTGCCCCCGGGCCCCTTCACAGGAGGCCTCCGTTCTCGCCTCGCCCCCCCCCGCGCTCGCCGCCGGCTGACAGTCCCTTCGCTGTTGCCGTGCTGCTGCGGGCGGCGCCCCCCCCCCCCCCTGGGAGGACGAGCGCCCGCCGGGCCGCTGCCCACTCGCGGCGGGGCCCCCCTGCCATGCCTCTCTGGGCGCCCGACATGGGCACGGAAAGAATGGGTACAATGCCCAACAGCAGTTCCTGTTCATTTTGGACAGGATTCGCTGTCCACGCCGCCGCGGCCTGTGTTCATTTGCGGCAGGAGGCCGCCTGCCCAACAGCGGCCGCTGTTGGTTCGGGACAACATTTGCTGTTGGGCATGGTGCCCATTCTTTCCGTACCCATTTCGGGCGTCCAAAGCCATGCCTCGGGTTGTGCCAGGAAGCTGACCGGCAGGATGCAATCTCAGCCGGGTCGAGGATGGGCAGTCGTGGGGGAACAGCAAGTGGCATAAACATATAACCTCGGAGGTCCGCGCGGATGGCCCGGATCGGCGCTGGACCCGCTTCCCTGGCGCGCGGAGCGCGCCAGGGTCGGCGCCCGAAGCGCCGCCGGGGGGGCCCAGCGCCGATCCGAGCAATCCGCGCGGACCTCCGAGTTTTTATGTGTATGCCACTTTTTGTTCCCCTAAGTTGGCCTAGCGAGAGCCACATCTTGAATAGGAGCCGCCTTTGCGCGCTTCAGATCTTCTCCTTCCTCCTCTTGCGTGCTGGCCAGTTCGCCACAACAGAGCTCCCGTTCAGCGAGCCTCTTCCGCCAGCACAGACGACCCTCGCCTATCCGCCGCCGCCGCAAAAAAAAATCAAGTGTTTCGACTCTTGCATGCCGTCTCATTTGGGAGTGGCTCAAGGCGCGAGCTCCATTCTGAAGAACAGCCGTCCTTCGCCCGTGAAACTGCTGTAGACTTGACCGTTCGCGCCCTCCGACGGGGGAGCGGGCCCCCTGCTTGAGAGCAGCCTCCCTCGGTCCGTGCAGCTGTGGCAAGCGGTCCAGGCAGGTGTGCGCGGCGCTCAGGCAGGAGCCACGCTCCTCCTGCTGGGATCCCGCACAGTGGGGATGTGCCCAGGTGTGTGTGTGTGTGCGCGCGCGTGTGTGTGTGTGTGTGTGTGTGTGTGTGTGTGCGTGCGTGCGTGCGTGCGTGCGTGCGTGCGTGCGTGCGTGCGTGTGTGCGTGCGTGCGTGTGCGTGTGCGTGTGTGTGTGTGTGTGTGTGTGTGTGTGGTGTGAGTTCGATCGTTCTCTGCACCGAACCGCCCCAAAGCAGATGCCGGCCAGCCGCCGGCAGCTCCCCATCGTTGCCGGCAGGTGGGGCATGCGGGGAGCATCTGCCTGCGGCGGTTCGGCGCACCAGCGGATCGAACTCGTGCCCCCCCTCCAAGTCGCCCCCCCCCTGTGGTGGACCCCGACCTCGACAGCTTCCTCCCCTGCCAGACAGACGACCTGCCGACGACGACAGGGACGAGGACCGCACCTGCCAAGAGAAGGTCCACGACGACCCTGGCTTTGCAGGGCTGCCCCTGTGCTCTTCGAGCTCGGGCCCTTCGCCCCGTACTGCCCTCCGTTGCGGCCTCGTGCCGCCGGCGAGGGGCCTCCGTGGGCGTGGCTCGTGCTCTGTCGGTGTCGGCGCTTCGACCGCGTGGCGCTGACCGAGACTGGGGCCAGCTCGTGGAGCCCCTGCCACAGTGGAGACCCATGCCAAGAGGCACCCTGTTAGCCTCCAGGGTGCCCGTGGGCTTCTCGGGTTTCGATGGCTCTGCCATGGAGCGCGTGACGTTCCCACGCCAGACATCAGTGTTCGCCCTGGGATCTCAGGGTTGGGTTTCTCGTGGAAGGTTTCTTGTGGTCGAGCTACTACTGTACCATCCCCTAACGTGGACTAGCCATCTGACGTCGCAGGGACCTCAGAGACGCCGAGCCCGGCCCGCGCGGAACGGGCGTTGCACATGTATTCTGGCGGCGCGCCTGCCCCAGAATGACGCTCCGGCCTCCGCGTGGGCCGCGCCCCTGATCCAGAGTGCTGCTGTCGCCTAATAGGCGCCAGCGGCATCCTTCAGATTGGCCTCCAGGGAGCCACGCTGGGACAGATGTACCCTGAGAGGGGCAGTACAAAACGTATAGGGCCCCGATTGGCTACATTTCGTTGTGTCTCGCATGTGTCCGAACCGAGAGCGCAGTAGCGAGCAGCACGACGAGGACGACGAGGCCGATGACGCCCTCCGACTCCCCCCAGGACAACAGCGGCGAGGTCGGCACCGGCGAGCTCAGCAAGCTGCTCCGCCACCTGGGCCGCGCGGCCCCCCTCTGCTGCCGGCCTGCTCGCGGCGGCGCGCAGATTCTGGAGGGGGAGAAGGAGTGGTGCTCCCCAGATCTCGAGGATCAGAACCTCGTGGTTGCCGTGCGTTCCGTCTTCTTCAGGAGGCTCCGGGAGGTCTCTGGAGGCCACGCGGGGCGGCGGGGGCAGGAGAGCTCGGGGGACTGCCTCCCGTGGGACTTCGAGCCAGAATTCGGGTTGACGAGCTCCTCCTCCCCCTCCTCTGCCACCTTTCTCCCCTTCCTCCCCAAGGGCGCCCTCGAGGGCGCGAAGTCATTCGCGCTTCGCGCTTCGCGGTTCGGCTCCGATTCCTTATCCTCCTCTTCTCCCCTGGGAGGCGGCGCGAGAGCGCGAAGCTATTCGCACTCCGCGCTTCGCGCAGCGCGAAGCGCGAAGTGAGCCCTTGCTCCCCCCATCCCTCGCTCGTGGAACACATCTCCTCGTCGCGCTGCTCAACGTGTTGCCAGGGCGGGCCGCGTCAACGGCTGCCGTTGCCAGGAGGGCCGGTCGAGCCGACAGCCTTCAGCCTTCGGGGGGGGGGGGCCCTCGACGCCACGGCTGGGCGCAGCCCCTCTGCTGGTCCATCACTCGGCGACTGATCATTGGTCGACTGGTCGATTTCCGCGGAGAGGAGGAGGAGGAGGAGGGGGTGGAGGAGGAGGAGGAGGAGGAGGAGGAGAACGAGTACGAGGGACGAGGAGGAGGAGGAGGAGGAGGAGGAGGAGGAGGAGGAGGAGGGAGGAGGAGGAGGGAGGAGGTATCTGTGAATGGGGAGCACATGATTCGTGAGCGCTTTTGTTGCTTTCGATGCGGCCAGCACTGGCGCAACTAGAACTCCCCTATTCATCACCATTCTTCCATTCTAGGCCTCCCAGATGGGGTCCGAGTAGACGGGACCGGAGGATCGCGCCGCATCGCCAATGCATCGCCTATGTATCGCCGATGCCGATGCATCTGCGATGCAGTTCGATTTGGATTCTGAGCTCTCCACGCCGAAGTCGCCGATGCGTCGCCCGCGTCGCCGAAGCATCGCCGATGCCTCGGGGATATATCGGCGATGCGTCGGCGATGCGGCGCGATCCTCCGACCGCATCTACTCGGACCCCATTTCCTCCCTCGTTTTGCTCGCCTATGTCTGCGTTTCTTACCCGCAGTAGTTCTACAACCTACCACGACTACGACGACTTTTACTACTACCACCACGACTACCACTATGACTACTACTACTCCTACTACTCCTACTACTCCTACTACTACTACTACTACTACTACTACTACTACTACGACTACGACTACGACTACGACTACGACTACTACTACTACTACTACTACCACTACTACTACTACTACTACTACTACTACTACTACTACTACTACTACTACTACTACTACTACTACTACTACTACTACCACTTCTACTGCTGCTACTACTGCGGCTGCTACTACGAGTGCTACACTGATTGCCGCTACTACCACCACTACTACTACTACTACTACTACTATTATTACTACTACTACTACTACGACTATTACTGCTACTACGACGACTACTAATATTACCACTACTACTACTACTGCTGCTTTCACCACGGTCACATCTACGAACGCTGCTTCTACCAATGCTACTACTATTCGTGTTACCGTTATCGCTAGCAGCACTACGATCACCGCCACTACCTATTATTGCATCTACTGCTACTACTACTACTGCTACTACTACTACTCCTACTCCTTCTCCTACTCCTACTCCTACTCCTCCTCCTCCTACTACTACTTCTTCTTCTACTACTACTACTCCTATTATTACTGCTACTACTACTACTACTACTACTACCACTACTACTACTACTACTACTACTACTACTACTACTACTACTACTACTACTACTACTACTACTACTACTACTACTACTACTACTCTTTTTTCTTCGACGACGACTACTACTACTACTACTACGACTAGTACTGCTATTCCCACCATTCTTACTCTTACTATTACCACGATTACTACCACCACTACTTCTACTACTAGTACTAGCACGACTGCACTACTTCTACTTGCACTCCCACTAGCACTAGTACTTTCATTATTATCTTTCTTGTTGCTACTTCGGTGTTTCTCCTTCTTCTTCTTCTTCTTACTACTACTACTACTACTATTACTACTATTACTACTACCACTGTGACAATCACTATTATTCTAATCTCTATTACGACCACTACTAGTACCACTGCTACTACTGCTCCAATTAGTATTACAATACTGCTACAACTGCTACTCCCACTACTGCTACTACTACTACTACTTCTACTACTACTTCTACTACTACTTCTACTACTACTAGTAGTACCACTACTACTAATCTTACTACTACTACTACTACTACTACTACTACCATTGCTAGTACTACCGGTACGATTTCTATTACCACTCATTTGACGACTGCTACTACTACTACTACTTCTACTACTACTACTACTGCTACTACTACTACTACTATTACTACTACTACTACTACTACTACTACTACTACTACTACTACTACTACTACTACTACTACTACTACTACCACCACCACCACCCCCACCACCACTACTACTACTACTACTACTACTACTGCTACTACTACTACTACTACTACTACTACTACTACTACTACTACTACTACTACTACTACTACTACTACTACTCGGGTCGTCGCCGCGTTTTTTTTTCTCTCGACTGTTGGGCGGATGGGTCATGTTTTTTCTCTCAGGGCTAATCCATTGTGGGCTACCTGACACGCGTTCAGGATTCGTGAGTATCTTCTCATGATTTCATGATGCTTGCAATCTTATGGAGTGGTTGTGGGTGTAGTCGTTATTATAGTCGTGTTTGTAGTCGTACTCGTCGTCGTCGTCGTCGTCGTCGTCGTTGTAGTCGCAATCGTAGTCGTAATCCGAGTCGTCAGCGTCGTCGCCGTCGCGGCGGATATTTGTTTCGTCTATTGTTGGCCGTCTTGTGTAATGTGTCGGTATTATTTCTCGCATGGAACAATGCTCGCTGGGCTACCCTGCGCGACAGAGAAATTTGAGCACGCTTGTAAGACGATTTTTTACAGATCGACACATTCTTCGCCGAATGCGTTGCTCACAATCTCCTTTTTTCATGTCGTCGTCGTTGTTGTGTGCCGGGTGCCTCGTTTGAATAATTCCCCAATCAGAGCTTGCCTCTGTAGGGGTCCTAGCGGATTCATATGGTTAGGTTAGGTTTGCCGCCGATTTTGGCTGCACGCCCGGGTGCCCAGGGGTGCCCGGGGGTTGAGGTTGGCCGCCGATTTTCGCTGCACACCCGGGTGCCGGGGGGGGGCCCGGGGGGGCCCGGGGGCCCGGGGGCCTGTGTGCCCGGGTGCCCGGGCGTGCCCAGGGGTGCCCGGCGTTGCCCTATAGCCCTCTAGCCCAATAGCCCAATAGCCCAATAGCTTTATAGCCCTACAACTCTGTAGCCCTATAGCTCTGTAGCCCTATAGCTCTGTAGCCCTATAGCTCAATAGCCCTACAGCCCTATAGCCCCCCTAGCCCTATAGCCCTGATTGGGTTTTTCTCAGGTATCATTATTTCTTGCTATCGGTGGGGCCCCAGTCCGTCAATAAGGTCGCCGAGAAATCATTAGTTTCCACTGTTGGGGGGGTTTATGTTCCTTTCACGGTTGCATGGGCGCCTCTGGCGCTGGAAGGCGCTTGGAAAACCAGGTGCGTGACCTGATTCGCTAGCCCCCCCCTGTGCTATCACGCCCCCTTTCGTCCGTCACGATTTCCCTTCCTCCGCATTCTCCGCCCTTCCTCGAAGCTGCTGCGGCTGCGCCATGCATTCAGTTCCTTGCCTCCCGCTCTCTGTGTGGCCCGCTCCGGGGCAATCCGCAGATTGGAGCAAGGGCGCGCTCCTGACACCAGGTTTCGTGTCGACGCTGCGGTGACCCTGGCGCGGGCGTTCACGGTGCAGTTTCGAAATCGGGCGGTGTCGAGCGAGGCCGCGATCATGCAGGAGCGCACGAGCCGCGCGGTGTCAGAAACCAGGTCGAGTCCCACGTCGTGCGCACTCCGCCCTCCCAGGCTACAGGCACACCGCCTCGGACGTGCACTCGTACATCGTCACGGCCGACGTCAACCAGAGCGGGCAGCTCGACTGGCGCGAGTTCCTGCACCTCATGCGCCGCTCCGAGCCGCGCCGCCGCCGCCGCCGTCGAGGAGGCGTAATCGAGTCGTCGTCGTCGTCGCCTTCGTACTCATCGGCTCGACGGTCGCCGCCCGCCGCCGGCGCTGCCGCCGTCGTGTTCGTCGTCGTCGCCGCGGCCGCCGTCATCGTCTGCGTCGTCGTTTGCGTCGCCGTTGTCGGCGTGTATGTGGGGTGCTTGAGGGACGGCTGCTCGCTTGACATCTGCGGGGGCAAGGCGCTTCCACGCCGCCCTTCGGTTAGCTGCGTAACGCATTGATGCATCGACCAGTGGATGCCGTACCACCCGTTGATGCACAAACTAGTTGATGCTTCACCTCATCTTATCCCCTTCTCGTTCCCTCGTCGTCGTCGCTCTCATCCTTCCTCCTCATCCTCCTCTAGCCGTCCTTGGCGTCGTCGTTCGCGTTGCTGCGTTCATTCGTCTGTCATCGTCGTCGTGTCGTTTGTCGTCCTCGCCGTCGTCGTTCGTCTTCGTCGCCGTCGTCGTCGTTTTTACTTTTTTATTTCCTGGGCCTCGTGCTATGCCCCTTTAGACTCGTAGTTTATACCTCGTCTCAGCTGCTCGATAGATCGATCCTCCTTCGTCTCCTCCTCCTCCTCCTCCGTCCTCCTTCTGTCAGGACCGCCTTAGGAGCTGTGATACAAGATCACGGCTTTGGTGTTCAGAACAAGCAGCTTATTTTGCAAGCACGTATTGAAGAATTCGACGAATCAGGATATCGAGCCCTACAGTCAGAAGAGGCCGAGGACCGCCATAGTGAACCGACATGCTGGAACTCCTGGGTCAAAGAAGTCATGACGAAAGGTGTTTGGGGGACTCATCGTTGGACCTCCAAGTTGCTAGCCTGGTAGCCCCACAGCGTTTGGAGACCATCGCTCCAGATATTCTCAGGCAGGTCCGTTAGGCTGCTCCAGTCTGAGGCCGCTCGGCTGTCCGGACCCTGACACGCGACCGCGACAGAGCAGGAGTTCACCTTGACGTCCGAGGAGCGCCAGGCCCTCCGACCCATCACGCCAGCAATGTTTCGTTCGGCTGCCAGAGGGTGTCAGACTCGGGACAGGCTTCGCCCGAGACAATTTGTCTGCCTTCTTATCGTGAACTGGAATCAGTTGTAATATTAATGGCAGCCAACGGACAACTATGAGTTTCCCCGACCACGATTCTCGCAGTATCTTCGTTGTGTTGATCGAGAAGCACACGGTCGACCATTCGGACGACCGCTCATCTTACTGTGGCATAGGCTTGTTTCCTTCTCTTTGGCGTGTATGGTCCAACGTCTGGCAAGAAGAAGCCACACTCGAGGAAAGACCGAACCAGCAGGCATCCATGGCTCACCAATTGGGGAGATGGGTTCTGGAAGCGGTGTATGCGCAGGCCCTCAGCGCCGAGCTCGCGGGATCCCAGCATCAGGGACTCCACGTTGGGACGATCCTTTGGGACTTCACTAACTACTGCGAGCACGTGAATAGACAGAAGTGGAAAACAAGAGCCCCCAGCAGTGGACACCCCGAGACCCTCGTGCGACTCCTGATGAACCAATACGGTGGGCCAAGCGTTGTTGCGACCACGAAGTTAGTTACTCATGCAGGCTGTGCTTTTAAATGTTGTCCCGCGGGGCCACGTTTAACGTCCAAATGTACGCCGCGCCCCCAGTATACCTCTGGGAACGAGAGCACCCCATGCTAGAGCCTTCCATTTTCATTGACGATTTTACGCTGGCCAGCAGCAACGCCAATATGAGCCGCCTTGTTTCGGACATGGTTGGGGATGCGGGCAGCATTCTAGATTTGATCGATGATGTCTTCGACTGTTCAGTCGCGCTACACAAAGCTGCAGTTCTATGTTCATGTGTTGCAGTACAGTAGAAGCTCGCCAAGGCGCTGGATGACTATCAAGAAGCGGTATCAAAATGCAGAAGCGTCTCCAGTGTTTGAAATATCTTAGCCGCGAAGGGGCCAACATGCTGAATATTTACCTCACAGGTTTAAACAGGTTTCCGAGATCGTGGGCATGGCAGATCCCGAGCTCAAAGATGCCAGGACCCTGTGCTTACACCGTGGTGCCAAGGTGCCCTACCAGGTCTAGGCCTCTACCGTTGGGAATTCTATGTGTTCCCACTTGGGGTGCTGCCGCGGAGCTGGCCTGCTACCGTGCCAACATGATATGGAAGGCGTCGCGCAAACCAAGCATTGGGCCCTGCGCGATCCCAGACTTTCGGGGGCAAGGCCAGAAACTGGGGCACGCCGAAGCCTTTGGCGCTAATTCAAGGGGCCCCTAGGGGCCGCGATCCTCTCGCTTGGGCGTCTGGGCTGGTCCATGCCCGACCCGTTCGTGTTGCAGGACGCGGCTGGCCAGAAGTTCCCCCTCATCACTACCTCGCCCGCCCTCGTCAAGAAGATATTTCAATAGTAGTCGCCCAGCCAGCTGCCGCGGGCCGCGTCTTCCAAGCTCGGTCTGGAGGGTCCGCTCGACGCGTCGCTGGCGCAGCGAGCTTTGATGGGCGAATCGTTCCCAGGTGGCATGAGGGAGGTTATTATCCTTATCCTATGTGTGCTAGTGCATCTGGACTGAGGAGGAGATGGTCGAGGCAGGCTACGAATGCCAGGTCGAATGTGGAGTGTGCGGAGCTCTGAGCGATTCGTTACTTCACCGTCCGTGCCTGTGCCCTGGTACCCCAACTTCTGCAGCAAGCGTCTTCAGGACGGGAATGTTGAGAGCTTAACGGGCAAAAAACCTAAGGTTCCCTTTAATTCTCGGTTTCCAGACCTCGACCGAGCCCGTTGCCATGAAACCCCCTGGACTCCGACATTCGTCGGCCGCGTATTGGGCCAGGGGTGGAGGGGATATTTCTGAGGCGACGCCCCAGCCTGGGCTGTCGTTACAGTTGACGAGGCTGGGGATTTAGTCGCCAGCATCTCGGGCGTCGTTGGAGCCTTCCTTCCTCCCGCACCCCTGCGGCCGAGCATCCAAGATTCTATGTTGCTACAATGTTTCCAGCTGTCACTACGCAGGTTTTAGCGGCACTATGACGGTACATCTGAACCCCGCCGCGAGTGAGAAGGAACGTATTTTGGAGTGTTTGTTGTGCTTGCGCGCGCCCAGTCCAGCTTTCCCAGGTTGCAGATCGAGAACGTGAAAGCCCACCCAGGGTGTATTGAGCTGCAGCATGGCCCAGATTTCAGCGACGGGTACCGACTGGGCTGTCATGAAAAAAACGCTGCGTCGGCTTCGACTCCTAGCCCGTCGGCCCGCTTAGCTTCAGATGTTGCGTGACTTGACCAGGTTCCTGAAGCGTTGTTCTTTTTTTTTTGGGGGGGGGCAGCATGCAGCTGACGCGCTCGCCTTGTGGGCCCCGCTTGCGCCAGAGGAGGAGAAGGAGGAGCAGGAGGCGCCGACCCCGCCGCCAGCGTTCAACGTTGAACGCCGGCGGCAGCCAAGCATCTGTCGATGTTGAACGATCGGGCGTTGCGGAAAGGGCCGGTCGTTCAAGGTTGCACGATCTTCGCGGCGTCAGGAATCAGCGCCCAGGTCGACACGGCACGAACCTGCCGTACAGTGGGGGCATGTGCCAAGAAACACCCTGCTTGCCTCCAGGGTGCCCTGGGTTTCTTGGGTTCCGATGGTCTTGCCGTGGACAGCGGGACGTTCCCGCACCAGCATAATCAATTGACGTCCTGGGGTCTGAGGGTTGGGTTTCCTGTGTGAGGTTGCTTGTGGTCGGGCCCCTACTGTGATCTGCCACGCGCGTGCTCGTGCAGACTGCGCGCGCAAGTCTAGAGCCCACGAGATCTGTCCTCAGATAGATCGATCCTCCTTCATCTCCTCCCTCCTCCTCCTCCCCCCTCTCCTCCTCCTCCTCCTCCTCCTCCTCCTTCTCCTCCTCCTCCTCCTCCTCCTCCTCCTCCTCCTCCTCCTTTTCCTCTCCGACGACGAGGACGACCTCGACGACGAAGAGGACGCCGGCGGCAGTCCCAGCAGCGACCAAATGTCAATGCTTAGCTTTTGGGGCTCCCTTGCCCCCCCCTGTCCCCCGCCTCCGTCCTCAGAGTTCACCTGCAGGGAAGGGACCTGCGAGGTGGCGCGTTTGGGCGCGTCGGAGCGTGCTGTGTCGTTTGGACTCGAGTTTGTTAGCACGACGGCTGCTGTTGTCGTTGTCGTTGTCGTTGTCGTCGCCGTCGTCGCCGTCGTCGTTGTCGTCGTTGTCTTCGTCTTCGTCGTCGTCGCCGTCGTCGCTGCTAATTGCGTCAGGCGCCGCTTCAAGGAGGCCGCGTGCGTGGAGGCTCCGCCCGCCCACGGCGACAGCTCGCCGCGCCCGTTTCCGATCGCCGCCGACTGCCGTCGATCGCCACCGCCGCTGTCGTCGGCGTCGTCGCCGTCGAGGAGGAGGAGGAGAGGGTGAGTTGCAGGAGGAGGACTAGAGGACGACTACGGGGAGCGAGGAGGCAGGATGGATGGTGGAGGATAGGGTGGGGGTGGACGATGGAGGAGGAAGACAACGACGAATAGTGTTGAGGAGGATGGGGAGAAATGAGACAGGATGGGCCTCGGAGGGCGGATGATGGTTGTTGAATTGTTTTTCTAACTAATGCAATGTTGTTGATCCCCCCTCGCCGGTCACCATTAGTTTTGTTCAATTGCAGTGCTTCTCCTGGGGTTCGCACCCTGTTTTTTTACAAGGGCAAGCGAGGTGACACCAAACTGTGTTGCTGGCCCCAGGATTACAAGAACAGCGGCTCCCGCCTGATACTCCTCACAATGTATTCCCAAGTCGCGCTCACACAAGGGACTTCCTCACCTTTTTTTGCAGACATCGCGCACTCGCGTTGGGTTTCCTCGCAATTCATTTCGACACCGCGCCCTCGAAACTCAGGAATCACGCTCTCGCTGTGTATGCCCTCACCGATTTATCTGTAAGGGCTTCGCCCCAGGCCGCCGGCCCCCTGTCTCGGATAATGGGAGATGCAAAAGCTAAATCATGAGGTCTGGGCGCCGCCGTGAAGCAGTGTCGGGACCTGTTTGTTTTTCGACCCTAACCTTACGGATCTGCGTCAGAGGTGCCACCGAATTTCAGAAATGTGGCAAATCCTGTGTTTTTCGACCCTGACCCTGTCGATCTGCGTGAGTGGGTGCCACCGAATTTCAAAACATGTGGCAAATCCCCTGGGTTTTCGGACCCTGACCCCGCCGATCTGCGTGAGGGGTGCCACCGAATTTCAGACATGTTGAGAATCCCCTGGGTTGTCGGACCCTGATCCCGCCGATCTGGGTGAGGGGTGCCACCGAATTTCAGAAATGTGGCAAATCCCATGTGTTTTCGGACCCTGACCCCGCCGATCTGTGTGAGGGGTGCCACCGAATGTCAGAAATGTAGCAAATCCTTTTCGTTTTCGGACCCTGACCCCGCCGATCTGGGTGAGGGGTGCCACCGAATTTCAGAAGTGTGGCAAGTCCTTTTTGTTTTTGGACCCTGACCCCGCCGATCTGGGTGAGGGGTGCCACCGAATGTCAGAAATGTGGCAAATCCCGTGAGTTTTTGGACCCTGACCCCGCCGATCTGTGTGAGGGGTGCCACCGAATGTCAGAAATGTGGATAATCCTTTTTGTTTTTGCACCCTGACCCCGCCGATCTGCGTGAGGGGTGCCACCGAATTTCAGAAATGTGGCAACTCCTTTTTTGTTTTTGGACCCTGACCCCGCCGATCTGCGTGAGGGGTGTCAACTTTTTCCCAGCCCAGCAATTCAGAGCACACGCTCAGGGCGTGCTAAACCTGCCCGGTTGGACTTCCCCCCCTCGCGCGGTCCATCAACAAGGAACAGTAAGCAGCAAGAAGCAGATTGTAACAGTGGAAACTGGAAGCTGCAACTGGTACAGGAAACTGCGAAACTTCGCCCTGCAGCCTGGGGGCCGGCGGATTTCGAAATCGTGCTGTCGCTCGCTCGTGATTCATTCAGGACGCACGCTTCAGCAACCCACCTGCTCGTCCTGGCCGCCTGGGCCCGCCTTCCGACCCGCCTGTCAGGGTCTACCCGCCCGATCTGCCTGTATGGTTCTGCCACGTGTTTTCTGTTCCTAGCCCCCTCCTGCTACTCTCTCTCTCTCGGCTCCATCCTCCTCCCTCCCCCTTGTCCCTTCCTTCCATCCGTCCTCCTTTCCCCTGCCTTAGGGTCTGCACGAAATACACGTTGCAGGTAAGAACGATATACCCCAAGGGGTACGATCGAAGACGACGAGGGCGGGTACCGAGGGTTTGGAATCTACTTGTTGAATGGCACGCGGGCAGATAAGAGCGAACATGACAGAACTGATTATTGTGTTTGTTTCTGTCGTTGTTGTTGCCCATGGCGATGCTGATTATGATGCTGATGATGTTGATGCTGATGCTGCTGATGATGATGATGTGATGGTGCTGGTGATGCTGATGCTGATGATGATGGTGCTGCTGATGATACTGATGGTGGTGTTGATGCTGCTGATGATGATGGTGATGATGATGATGATGATGATGAAGATGACGAGGGTGAGTGTGAGGGTGATGCTCTGGCTGAGGACGACGATTACAACGATGATGAAGAATACGAATCATAACACTACTCATACGACGACGATGATGATGGTGGTGGTGGTGGTGTGGATGATGATGATGATGCTGATGATGATGCTGATGATGATGCTGATGATGATGACCATGATGATGATGTGATGGTGCTGATGATGATGATGATGAGGATGATGATGCTGATGATGATGCTGATGTTGATGATGCTGATGATGATGCTGATGATGCTGCTGTTGCTGATGATGATGATGTGATGATGATGGTGATGATGTTGACGATGTTGACGATGATGATGATGATGATGATGATGGTGATGGTGATGATGATGATGATGATGATGATGATGATGACGATGATGATGATGATGATGATGCTGATGATGATGATGATGATGATGCTGATGATGATGATGATGATGATGATGATGATGATGATGATGATGATGATGATGATGATGCTGATGATGATGATGATGATGATGATGATGATGATGATGATGATGATGATGATGATGATGATGATTATGATGCTGATGATGATGATGATGATGATGATGATGATGATGATGATGATGATGATGATGATGATGTGATGGATGATGATGATGATGATGATGATGATGATGATGTGGGAGGAGGAGGAGGAGGAGGAGGAGGAGGAGGAGGAGTTGGTGGGCGACGACGAGAGTTGAGAGGGGGGCGAGAAGGACGAGGAGGAGGTATGATCAAGGGTGCAGGAAGGAGAACGGCAGACGCGGAGCACGATGACGACATTTGAAGAGAGGGCGAGGAGGCGGGAGGCAGGAGGCAGGATGGATGCTGGACGGTGGAGGATGGAGGAGGGGGCGGTGAGGGTCTGGGCATTTCCTTGGAGGTTCCGAGGTTCAAGGGAGAAGCAACCACCTGGATACGATATTGGCGTTTACTGAACGGGCCTGGGCGTTTACTTAACAGCCCCGCCCTGTTCGGTCCCTGCTTTGGGTGCGTCTACTAAACAGCCTCACTTTTCGGGGTGGTCATTCTGAGGGTGGATTTTTTGCCCTCTAGAGGTTTCCGGGGAGGGAGAGGGGGCGGCTTCCGTGCCCTCCGAATATGGGGCCCTCGATGGCGACCAGCACCACCAACCAGAGGCCCAACGCCGCCAGGTTGCACTCTTCACGCACCCGCACTGCGGGCAGAGCGGGCCATCCGAGGTGCGCTCCTCCCGCGGCTGAACCACCGCCAAGGTCTGAAGCCGTTGTCTTCAGGTGCCGCCCGATCTGGCGTGGAACAGCGCCTGCAATCAGCGGAGGACGAGGTACCGATCCCGTTGCCCTTACCTCGCTTCCTCTTTTTCGGGCCTCCTGGGAGGCCCTCGTCGCCACCGCCAGATTCGCCTCGAAATCCGGGTCAGAACGCACCCTGGGAGAGGTCCAGGGAGTAGCTGAATCGGTACCTGTTGGTTTCCCCATGCAAGCGTGACGAGTATGCACACGCCCGAAAGAAAGCGCGCGCCGAGCAGACCCCTCCCCGAGGCCTGACTGGGGCGCGTCGCGTTGAGGGCCCCGCGACGGGGATTGGAGTTCCCCGACGCGACCTTGAACTAAAAAGGCTTGAACACAAATGACTTGACCCTAATGGGGCTGGCGAGGATGAGGATTGGGATGAAGATGCTGATTACGATGGTGATCATGGTGATGGTGGTGATGCTGCTCATTCTGTTAGTATACTGGTGTCATGATGATGATTATGCTGATCATGGTCATGATCATACATATTATGTTAATTTTGCTACTGATGAGGATGATGCTGATCATGCTGCAAAGTGCGTGATGGTAAAGATGAAGACGAAGCAGATGCTGTATATTATGATGGAGATGAAGATAAATCTTATTTTGACGACGATCATGATGCTGATCGTGACAGTGATGGTGCTGGCGATCGGATGTCGATGGTGATGATGATGCAAATGTTGATGCTGATGGTGATGATGATGAGGATGATGATGCTGATGATGATGATGGTGGTGATGATGATGATGATGATTCTGACGCGTATGATGATGCGAAGGAGGAGGATGCAGATTAGGCCGATGATGATGAGGATTGTGATTGTTCATGGTGACATCACGACGACGGTGGTGGTGGTGCAATCTCTGCTGCTGCTGCTGATGATGCTGATGATGACGGTGACGACGATGACGATGATGACGCTGACGATAAGGATGCTGACGATGATGCGGAAGCTGCTGATGATTGTTGTGAGCTGCTCATAATATGATTTGAAGCTTCAGATGCTGGTTGTGAGCTGGTGGTGCTGGTTGTGAGCTGCTGATGATGATACTGAAACTGCTGATGATGGTTGTGAGCTGCTGAAGATGCTGTTGGTGATGCTGCTCATACTAAATTTGGGCCTGCGATGATGGTGGTGATGATCATGATCATGATGATTATGACGACCCTGCTGGTGTTGACGTCGATGAATACGAACGTGATGAGGGATATGTTGATTGATAGGACTATGAATATGGATCTATGATGATGATGATGATGATGATGATGATGATGATGATGGTGGTAATGATGATGGTGGTGATGATGATGGTGATGATGATGATGATGGTTACGACGATGCATACTACGATGCTTCTGCTGACGGCGATGACGATGACCGTGATAATGAGATGATGATGATGATGCTGATGATGATGATGGTGGTATGCTGTTTCTGATGATGGTGATGATGATACTTTGGTTTTGGTCGTGACGATGAGGATGGTCATGATACTGCTCAAGATGATGGTGATGGTGATGGTGAGGGTGATGATGTTGATGATGCTGATCACAATGATGAAACTATGATGATGATGCCGATGCTGGTGCTGATGGTGATGCTGATTATGATGATGCTGCTGATGATGCTGCTGCTGCTGCTGATGATGATGATGATGATGATGATGATGATGATGATGGTGAGCAGGAGGAGGAGGAAGAGGAGGAGAGGAAGGAGAGGGAGAAGTAGGACGACGCCGCCCACGTCGATAATTCCTCCCATGCCCACGAAGATGCCGACGCCGCCGCCGCCGATGGCGACGGCTACGACGACGACAACCACGACGGGTTGACATTTAAGACAACTCCACGCCAACGACGGTGGCGACGACAATGGCGACGGCGACGGCAATGCCAGCGCAGATGACGCCAACGGCGGCGGCGACGACGACTGCGAGCCGCTCGGCCGCAGGCCGAGAAAGTCTTCGAGGAACACGCGTCGTGGATCCGGACGGGCAAAGGCGCCGGCTGCCGTCGCCAAGCGCCGCCCTCTGGCGGGGGCCGCCGTCGTCGTCATCCTCCGTCGCCGTGGCCGTCGTTGCTGCCGCCGCCGGCGTGTTTGGGATGTGGTTGTGGTGGTGGGGGTCTTTCGTCGTCATGTTTTTTCGCATTCGTCGTCGTCGTCGCTGTCCTCGGACAAGCAGGATGGGGGGTTGACGAGAAGAAGAGGAGTTGGAGCAGGTCGAGGAGGAGGAGCATGGGGGGGAGGAGGAGGAGGAAGAGGAATCGGAGGAGAGATGATGGAAGTGAGAAACAGGAGTCTAGAGCGGGACCAAGATACGAAGAAGGAATAGTGATGATGATGATGATGATGATGATGATGATGATGATGATGATGATGATGGCGATGGTGGTGGTGATGATGATATTGATGATGCTGCTGCTGATGATGCTGATGATGATGATAACGATGATGATGCTGCTGATAGTGATGATGATGCTGATGATGATGATGATGATGATGGTGATGATGTTGATGCTGAAGCTGCTGCTGCTGATGGTGATGATGATGCTGATGATGATAACAATAGTGATTGTGGCGATGATGATTGATGGTGGTGATATCGATGATGCTGCTGATTCTAATGATGATGCTGATGATGCTGGTGATGATGCTGATGCTGGTGCTGATGATGATGATGATGATGCTGATGCTGATGGTGATGATGGTTAGGCTGCTGCTGCTGATGATGATGATGATGATGATGACGATGACGATGATGATGCTAATATCGATGATGATGGTGATGATGGTGATGATAAGGAGGAGGAGTCGAATTAAGACGAGGAGGAGGAGGCGGGATATAATGATGATAATGCTGATGCTGATGTATTATGATGATGCTGACGCTGGTAATGCTGATGATGATGCTGATGCTGTTGCTGCTGATGATGATGTTTGTGATGCTGAAGATGACGATTGATGATGATGACGATGATGATGACGATGATGATGCTGATGCTGCTGATGATGCTCACAGTGATGGTTGTGATGATGCTGCTGCTGCTGCTGCTGCTGCTGATGATGATGATGATGATGATGATGATGATGATGATGATGATGATGATGATACTGATGATGATGATGCAGATGATGCTGATGTTGATGCTGATGATGTTGATAATGACGAGGAGGAACAGGTGATTGAGGGATTGGAGGAGGAAGATGAGGAAATGTGGAAATGGGGAGGATGAAGAAGAAGGAGAAGGACACAGGTCGGCGAATGCGCTTCCCCGGGGCTCAGGTTGAGAGGGCAGGCTGGGGACCAGGGGTCCGACAGTGGCGAGGAGATCAGCGCCACGGGGAACGGCCGACGCATCATGCACAACGACCGCCGTCGCGCGATGGAGCGGAAGCATAACAGTGAGCGCGAGTTCGCGCAAATGGCCAAGGGTAAGGGCAAAGCTTAAGTCGGGCATGCCCCCCTACAGGAGGAATATTCAAAAATAGTTAAAGAATAATGCAGGGACGATTTTTTGAATAGGTTTTTTTCAATTTTCGGGTAGCTTTGGAGTATTTTTAATTTTCTCCCCCGAATCCGCCTGTAGGGGGACATGCCCGACCTAGGTGTAACAGTGAGCGCGAGTTCGCGCAGATGACCAAGGGTAAGGGCAAAGGGCCAAGGTCGAGCTCAAGGAGGCCGATGTGAGTGAGCACGAATAACCGGTGGATCTTTCCCCTGTCCATCAAGCTCCAGGGTTTGTCGCGCTTGTGACCTGTGAGTTGTTTTACCGTTTTCACGCACTGTGCAGCTGTGGCACATGAAAATGTTGCGGAGATCCCGCCATAACCTAAGTCGCCGTTTGAGGTGTCGGTTTGTCTTTGTCTTGCGCAATCCAAACGCCTGTTGCCGTTTATATGTGCGTGCGCAGTGTAGCTGGACTATCCGAGCTGGAATAGTAGACTCGAGCCTTTTTCACACTTTTTTTGTCGCTTGCCTTGTTGTAGCTTTTGTGCGGGTGGGTCTGCCCCAGTTTCTTGATTGTGGCTTCCAGGTGTAAAGAAGGCTGCACGTAACTAGCCCGACCTGGGTCATTGAGTCGAGGGGGAATCCTAAGTAGCTCCCAGCAGGTCAATGTGCAACCCGTCATTGTGCAACCCGACAGGCAGTGTGGCATATTCTTGTATCGTGGTGCCGGCCGCTGATGGCAAAGCAGAGTTTAATCCTCAGTGCCCTCGTTTTTTTTCCTATTATTATTTTCACCTTCTCCTCCTTGCCCTGTCTTTTCACCTTCTTCCTCCGCCCCCCCCTCCCCGCTCGTCTCCCTCCCCATCCCATTCTTCTCTTCGCGATCCCTCGCCGTCCACTTTTTTTTTTTTTTCTCTCTCTTTCTCTCTCTTCCCTCTCTCTCGCACTCCTTTCCCGCCCCTTCCTTCTTCCCCTTTTCGCCCTCACCCGCAAGCCTCCTTGCGCTCTCTCTCTCTCTCTCTGTCTCTCTCTCTCTCTCTCCTGTCTCGCTCTCTGCCTCTGTCTCTGCTGTCTCCATCCCCTCCCGCTCTACCTGCCTGCCCGCCTGCACGCCTGCATGTCTGTCTGTCTGTCTGTCTGTCCGCCCGCCCGCCCGCCTGCCCGCCCGCCCGTCTGTCTGTCTGCCTGTCTGTCTGTCTGTCTGTCTGTCTGCCTGCCTGTCTGTCTGTCCGCCTCTCTCTACCCCGCCCGCGCGCGACACCCCCACCAGGCGCGGAGCGGGTGCTGGAGCAGCGCTGCCTCAACCAGGCGGGGAGGGGGGGATGCGCGGCCCCTCTCGGCCTGGCTCCCTGGCCCCCGTGCCAAGGCCGCCGGCCTCTCATCTGGCGGCTTCTCCCCCTTTGGGGTGATGATGCTGGTGATGCTGATGATGATGAAAATAGTGATGGTGGCGGCGATGATGACTGATGATGATGATGATGATGATGATGATGATGATGATGGTGATGATGATGATGATGATGATGATGATGATGATGATGATGAGGATCATAGTGATGATGATGCTGTTGATGATGATCATAGTTGTGATGGTGCCGGCAATGATGATTGATGATGGTGATGATGATGGTGATCATGAAGACGGTGAGAGTGATGATGATGTTGCTGATGATGATAATAGTGATGGTGGTGGCGATGATCATTGATGCTGATGATGATGATTGTGATGATGATGATGATGATGATGGTGACAATGATGGTACTAGTGATGGTGGCGGCGATGATGATTGACGATTGTGATGATGATGATAGTCATGAGGATGCTGATGATGCTGATGATTGTGATGGTGGCGGCGAAGATGCTTGATGATGATGACGATGATGATAGTGATGATGATGCTGATGATGATAATAGTAATGGTGGCGGCGAAGATGATTGATGGTGATGATGCTAGTGATGATGACGATGATGATGATAATAGTGATGGTGGCGGCGATGATGATTTATGATGATGATGGTGATGATGATAGTGATGATGATGCCGATGATGGTGATAATAGTGATGGTGGCGGCGATGATGATTGATGGTGATGGTTATCATAATGATGATGCTGATGATGATAATAGTGGTGGTGGAGGCGACGATGGTGATGATGCTGATGATGCTGATGTTGATGATGATAGTGATGATGATGCGGATGATGATGAAACTAGTGATGGTGGCGGCGATGATGATTGATGGTGGTGATGATGCTGATGATGAAGATGGAGATGCTGATAATGATGATGATGATGATGATGATGATGATGATGATGATGGTAGTGATGATGCTGGTGATGATAACAATGATGGTGACGGCGATGATGATTGATGGTGATGATGATGCTGATGATGATGACAATAGTGATGGTGGCGGTGATGATGATTGATGGTAGTGATGATGATGGAGATGCTGATGATGATGATGGTCATGATGACTCTGATGATGATGGCAATAGACATGGTGGCAGCGATGATGATTGATGCTGATGCTGATACGGATGATGATGATGTTGTTGATGATGATGATAACGATGATGCTAGTGATGCTTATGCTGACGGTGATGATAGTAGTAATCTTGACGGCGATGGTGATTGACGATGGTGATGATGATGATGTTGATGGTGATGATGGTGATATTGACCTTAATGCTGATGATGATGGTAATAGTGATGGTGGCGGCGAGGATGAATGATGGTGATGATGATTGTGATAGTGATGATGATGCTGATGCTGATGATAGTAGTGATGGTGGTGGAGATGATGGATACTGATGGTGATGATCATTGTGATGCTGATGCTGATGATGCTGATAATAGTGATGGTGTCGGCAACGATGATTGATGACGACGATCATGCGGATGGTGATCATACTAATGATGAGGATGCGGGTGACGAAGGTAATAGTGATGGTGGTGTCGATGATGCTTGATGATGATGGTGATCATGCTGCTGATGATGATGCTATTGATAGTGGTGATGATGATGCTGATGCTGATGATGCTGATGATGATAGTGATGGTGATGCTGATGATGATGATGATGATTCTGATTTTGGTGATGGTGTTGATAGTGATGATGACGATGATTAAACTGACGACGATGGTGATGCTGATTACGATGCTGATGATGATGCTGGTGATGATGCTACTGATGATGATGCTGGTGATGATAATAGTGATGGGTGCGATCATGATGATTGATGGTGATGGTGGTGATGGTGATGGTGATGATGACGATTGTGATGGTGATGCTGATGATGATGGTGATGCTGATGCTGCTGATGATGATAATAGTGATGGTGGCGGCGATGCTGATTGATGATGAAGATACTGATATGATGAGACTAGTGATGATGATGGTGCTGATGATAATGAGAATGATGATGATGCTGATGATGATGCTGATGATGATGCTGATGATGATGATAATGATGATGCCGATGACGATGCTGATGATGATGGGTATGATGGTGATGCTTATGACGATGATGATGCTAATGCTGCTGCTGATGATGATGATGATGATCATGATCGTGGTGCTGATGGTGATGCTGATGATGATGCTAGTGAAGGTGGCGGCGATGATGATTGATGGTGATGATGCAAACGGTGATGTTGATGTTGGAGATGATGACGATGATAGTGATGATGTTTCCGATAAAGGGGGATGATGATGCTGATGACGATGACAATCATAGTGGTGATTGGGGCGATGATCATTCATGGTGATGCTGATGATGGTTGTGGTGATAATGCTGATGATGGTGATCATAGTGATTGTGACAGCGATGATGATTTATGATGGTGATGACGATGCTGACTATGATAGTGATGAGGATGCTGATGGTGATGATGATGATGATGCTGATGCTGATGCAGATGGTGATGATGATAGTGATGATGCTGATGCTTCCACTGATGGTGATGATGTTGATGATGATAGTGATGATGATGTTGATGATGATGTTGATGATGATAATCGTGGTGGTGGCGGCGTTGATAATTGATGATTATGGTGGTGATGATGCGGATGATGATGCTGCTGCTGATGATGATAGTGATGCTGATGATGCTGATGATTCTGCTGCTGATGATGCTGATCAGCTGATAATGAGGATACTGATCATGATAGCGATGATGATCCTGATGATTATGATGATAATGATGGTGGCGGCGATTCTGATTGATCATGGTGATGATGGTGGTGATGACGATGATGCTGATTCTGCTGATGGTGATAATAGTGATGGTGGTGGCGCTGATGATGATTGGTGATGATGATGCTGATGATGATAGTGATGATGGTGATGATGATGCTGCAGATGGTGGTGAAGATGATGATGATGCTGATGATGATGATGACGCAGCTGACAGTGATGATGCTGATGATGCTGATAATGAAGATGATGATGATGATGATAATGATGATGTTGATGATGATGATGATGTTGACGATGATGATAATGGTGATGGTGGCGGCGATGATGATTGATGATGGCGATTGTGCTGATGAAGATGATGGTGGTGATGATAGTGATGATGATGATGATGATGATGATGCTGCTGCCGATGATGATCATGATCTTGCGGATGATGATGGAGGTGATCATTATGATAGTGATGATGCTGCTGATGATGATGATGATGATAATGGGGATGGTGGTGGCGATAGTGATTCATGATGATGATAGTGGTGATGCTGATGCTGCTGATGCTGACGGTGATGAAGGTGAGTGATGGCGATAGTGATGATGGTGCTGATGATGACGATGCTGATGCTGATGATGCTGATGGTGCTGATGATGATGGTGGTGGTAGTGAGGATGATGCTGATGATGATGCTAATGGTGATGTTGGTGGCGAAGATGATTGATGATGATGATGGTGATACTGATGATGATTCTGAAGACGCTGATGATGCAGATGATGATGAAGATGATGATGCTGATGATGATGGCGAGGATTGTGATGATGATGCTGCTGATGATGTTGATAATGATGATGTTGCTGATGATGATAATGGTGATGGGGGCGGCGATGATGATTGATGATGATGATGCTGATGCTGATTGTGGGCCTGATGATGATTCTGGCAGTGATGATGATGATGATGCTGATGCTGATGAATATTGTGATGGTGGCGGCGATGAGTGATGCTGATGATGATGATGATGATGATGGTGTTGTGATGATGATGATTCGGATGCTGATGATGATGGCGCTGCTTCTGATGATGATAATGTTGACGATGATGATAATAGTGATGGTGGCGGCGATGCTGAAGAATGATGATGATGATGATGATGATGATGATGATGATGATGATGATGATGATGATGCAGATGGCGATGCTGATGATGATAATGGTGATGGTGGCGGCGATGATGATTGATTATGATGCTGCTGATGCTGATGGTGGTTCTGATGATGATTATGGTAGTGATGATGATACTGATGCTGATGAACATTGTGATGGTGGCGGCGATGCGTGATGATGATGGTGATTGTGATGGTGATGCGGATGCTGATGATGATGGCGCTGATTCTGATTCTGATGATGATGATGATGATGATGTTGACGATGATGATAATGGTGATGGTGGCGGCGATGATGCTTATGGTGATGATGCAGATGGGCATCCTGATGATGATGATGATGATGATGATGATAGTGATGCTGTTGCCGATGATGATGATAATCGTGTTAGTGGCGGCGATCATGATTGACGATAAGGGTGACGCTGATGATGATGCTGACGATGATGATTCTGATGATGATGATGATGATGATGATGATGCTGCTGGTGCTGATGAACACGATGCTGGTGGTGGCGATGATTGATGATGATTATGATGCTGCTGCTGATGACGATGATGATGATGCGGATGCTGATGCTGATGATGATGATGATGATGATGATGATGATGATAGTGATGATGATTTTGACGATGATGAAAATAGTGGTGGTGGCGGTGATGATGATTGATGGTGATGCGGATGATGTTGATGATGGTGATGCTGATGATGATGATGGTAGTGATGATGATACCGATGATGATGAAAATAGTGATAGTGGCGGCGATGATGATAGATGATGTTGATGCAGATGATGCTGACGGTAATGATGATGGTGATGATGGTGTTGGTAAATGATAATAGTGATAGTGGCGATGGTTATGATTGATGATGATATCGATGATGGTGCTGATTCTGATGATGATGATGCTGATGATGACGGTGATGACGATGATGATGCTGCTGATGATGATGATAGTGATAATCAGGATTATGGTGGTGATGATGATTGATTATGGTGATGATGCTGTTTATGCTGCTGATTATGATGATGCTGATGGTGATGATGCTAGTAGTGATGATGATGATGATGATGATGATGATGATGATGGTGATGGTGATGA